GGTTATTAATAATTAACTAAACGGTATCTATTCTCAGTTAAAATGACTCGACTTGTTACATGTAATATATCAACAACAGAGTACGTTAATATTGAAAAATATTATTATTCAAGAAAAATTTGTAACTGAAATTTAATTGTTTAAAATGAAAGACTTTAATAAAAATTTCATGACAAAATAATTTACTTTGCAAATTGAAATAAATTTATTAAATTATTATTCAAAATATTCAATTATCCTTGGTCGATTCTCTCGTCAAAGTAACTTTTTTAAAAGATGAAACTAATATGCTTGTTCCTTTGAGTTGAAAATCGACCAGTCGCGAAACGCCTTCTTGCACATAAAATACATCATATGATGTATTAATTAATGAAACGAATATTTAATAATTATATTAATGTTGTAAGATATTCTACTCGATCATATGATTAATATAATATTTTCACATTATATTAATTCATATTCTACTGAATTATATAATTCATATAAAGTTAATAAAAATATCTCATATATTTTATCAAAATTGTATAATAATCATATTGTGTAATATTTATTGGTAACATTAAAAAACGTGCAAGAAGATCCTAGCCTGTACTAAAAAAATATAACAATTGATGTTACTGCTCACGGGTATTTTTCATACCCGCGGTCACTTAACTCGTCAAAAATACCAAGTATACAACTGGTCACCCGTGTTGATTCGGATCTTTCATCCTACAACATGGTTGGGGACCAGAGGAACACAAATAACATGCGACTCACCAATGATGATCTTGTACCTCTGGGATGACTGCATGATGATGCTGCTGCTGCCCAGTGGAAGTCATCAAAGCCCTCTGCATGGTCCTGCTATAAAGAATAAGAAAGCAATTATAATCTATTGTTAAAGTTATAGAGATTTTTAATTAAAAATTTCAAAATATAAATTTATACTTACGTTGTTCGCTCGTGGTCCACCGCCGGATACCCCCCAGGCACTGCTGCTGCTTTTCAGAGACTGTAAGAAAACTGTAAGAAAACAATTTGAATCTATTGTTAAAACTATAGAAATTTTTAATTAAAAATTTCAAAGTATATATTTATACTTACATTGTTTGCTCGTGGAGCCCCGCCAAATAATCCTCTTCAGTGATGAACTGACTCTAATCCCGGTAACGAAGAATTTTAATTTCAAATTTAAAAAAATAATCAAGTTTATTAGATATTAAATTACATTATCGCGACCGAAGATTGAAATCGGCGAACAAATGACTCTATTTTCGCGATTCAAAATACAAGAAGAGCCACGATACTCTGGAAATACTTTAGAATAGCGTAAGAAACACTGATTCTATTCTCGCGTTTCCCTGAGATATGTACGACAACCTATTGGGGGTCACTTTGCCCTGAAAAACATCTGTTACTACGCACAAACACTGAAGGTACCGGCCGCATTGCGCGCGGCCAACAAAATTTCCTGGAAAGATAAGAAGGAAGGACACAAGGAAAACTCAAGAAGCACACCTGTGCTCTCTCAATATTTTTTCGTTCTTCAGTTACAAACAATCAATGGAAATACTGCTGTTCACATTGAATTACATCAGAAATGTAAAACTTAAATTTTCTCAACAATTATAAATGTTAAAATATTATTAATGAAATCAATTATAAAATAATTGTTGGATTTAAAAATATTATATATCAGCTTTTATTTATTAGAGTCGTAAGTGTAATGGTATTAACTGAATTGAATTTTAATATATATTTCGATTTTTATAAACGTTCTGAAACGTACAAAAATTAAAGTTTGGTATTTAATTGTGCCTGAATAGCACATAATAATTACGCAATTTCTATGTTTTACTCAACTTGCATAGAAAATTGTACGTAAATAACAATTGGAACAATTCATAATGATAAATTTGGAAAAAATAGTAAATATTTGTCACCCAGAAATATATAATCGCGATCAAAATGCAATAAAATAAGCAAATTAATTCCTATTTAATTTGCCACATAATCGAAATCGATTATAAAGTAATTTAAAAGATTGTTTATTATTTAAACTCAATTATTCAATCTCAGCACTGATATCTCACACTTTCGACAAATAATAAATCGATAAAACGATAAAAATAATAAAATATATATAAATTTTACCAATCCTTACTGAACCGTTTGAAAATGACACCATTTGAATATTTTCAAGTGTAATGGCGGCCATTCCGGTTGCCGGTACCGTGCCTCGTATTTGAATTCCAACCAGAGTCTAACAGAAATAAAATACAAATTGTAGTCAAATGCATCACAGTAAACATGTCTAACGACAATTAAACAATAATTCAACTTGAAATAATGTCTGTAAGATACGTTATTTTGTTTCGAGAGATATGAATCGACACCGATTAAACATCGAAGAAAGCGTACGAAATACGATTTACTTTTATCCACAATTCCCGCTCAATTTTACGCAAAAATATATTAATTTTAAACAAATGCACCGTTAGAGAGTAAACGCGAGCAATATTAATGATGAAATACGTACCTTCTTGTTCGCGAGAAGTCGTCACGTCTTGACGTGTCGGAGCAGGTTCGAACACGTCTCGCCGCACCGATTTCTACAATAGAAATGGCGGCCAATCGCCGTACCCAGCATCGTTCGCGAATTAATACGGAGGAATCCGATGATTGCCGAAGCTTCTATTTCAAAATGAATTCCTTCAACTTCGAATTCCGATCAGAAACTAACAGAAATAAAATAGGAATTACAGTCAAATGCATTACAGTAAACATGTCTAACGACAATTAAACAATAATTCAACTTGAAATAATGTCTGCAAGATACGTTATTTTGTTTCGAGAGATATGAATCGACACCGATTAAATATCGAAGAAAGCGTGCGAAATACGATTTACTTTTATCCACAATTCCCGCTCAATTTTACGCAAAAATATATTAATTTTAAACAAATGCACCGTTAGAGAGTAAACGCGAGCAATATTAATGATGAAATACGTACCTTCTTGTTCGCGAGAAGTCGTCACGTCTTGACGTGTCGGAGCAGGTTCGAACACGTCTCGTCACACCGATTTCTACAATAGAAATGGCGGCCAATCGCCGTACCCAGCATCGCTCGCGAATTAATACGGAGGAATCCGATGATTGCCGAAGCTTCTATTTCAAAATGAATTCCTTCCACTTCGAATTCCGATCAGAAACTGTAACAGAAATATAATAGAAATTACAGTCAAATGCATTACACTAATCATGTCTGATAAGAATTAAGCAATTATGGAACACGAAATAATATTTACGAGATACATAATTTCGTTTACAGAGATATTATGAATCGACGCCGGTTGGATATCGAAGGAGACGTACGAAATACAATTTACTTTTATCCATAATTCCCGCTCAATTTTACGCAAAAATATATTAATTTTAAACAAAAGGATCGTCAGAAAGTAAACGCGAGTCATAATAATGAGGAAATAGAGCGTTAGAAATACACACCTCGGTCGCGAAACGGCGACAGGTCTGGACACGATCAGACACGTCTTACCCCGCCAATTTTTACAATAGTAATGGCGACCGCTCGCTGTACCGAGTAACGTTCGCGAAATAGGCTGGAGAGTGGGGGCGCTCCCGATGTTTCCCGAAGCTTGTATTTCGAAAAGGAAGGTTGAGCCTCGTTTTCGAAACTACGTTAATTCGCGAAACGACGGATGCCACAACTAGAAACCGCGGATACAAAAAAAAAGAACGAGGATAAGCGGTATGTACTAGAACAACGTAAATACCTTGACTGTAGAACCATACTGATGAATGAAAACTCGTTCACATTATTCACTTTTACGATTATACGAAATTACGATGCACAAAGTTACATTTTTTAGCCATAGAGTGCGTACGTGAGACGACGAACGTTCCCATTCGATTATCGATCGACGAATTTTTCTATTCTTTTAACAAAACGAATAAATTTTATTCTTTTACTTTCTGGGTACATAAAACGATAGTCAAGGTTAGCTTAATTCACTAGCTGATTATTTAATAATTGTCAAAAAGAAATATGATACGTGTTTTATTAAAATTTATTCATTGTAACGATAATCGATTGTAACGTTGGAATATCTCAAAGCTGTCGACATTTTCCATTTGGTAGCACTAACTGATTCTAAATCACACGTTTTGGAATAAATATATCTCTTATAAGCAATAATTTAATGACTTATTAAGTGTTGTTTACACCGCCGATTGAACACGAGGTTGTGTTCTAACTAATCGAAATACTGATCTCGTAAAAAGTCAATAGTATTACAGCACACTCTGTGTTTAAAGGCAATGGCTCCGAGAATCATATTTTACCCGATCATTGGGGTCGGTAACATCAGCAGAAACATTCTCAACGACTGTGAATATTTGTAAATTTGTATAGTAAAATATTACACATAATAGATATAAAATAACTCTTCTAATAAAACGCTATCAGCTATAAAATAAACTAAATGTGGCAATATTTAGTCTTAATTCCAACCACTAGAGGCGCTAACTTCGAATTCCAATGAGAACCGATAACGTTGGAAATGACACAGAAATAGTAAGGGGGCTCACGAACCCCCAATGTTTATTCTATATCTCGTCTGTGCACATAGATATTTGCATACTTAAAAATAAAAAGAATATTTAATTGTAATTGCTAAAAAAATTTGGTGTATCGCAAAATACATCTATGTCGGTTACATTTTTTTTTTATACAGAATTTCAACCGTTCGCCAATACTAAAATAACATAGTCTAACTAAAAACAATTAATTTTTCATGCAAACCGAAGGACATTGAATTGGAACAAATTCCAGCAAGACAGGTGTGGATTTACAGTGTCTGCTGATACGAGCTTGACATTCGAACCCTTTTAGATTTGGGTATCTGCCATCAGATCAGAATTGACCAGCTTCAATGTTAACATTCGCAATGACGATGCGGATCTTCTTAGCGAAGCAGTTTGCTGCTAACGAGCTTCGTGTCAATATCTGCGCTCACGCACAACAAAATGTTTACAGTAAATATTTACAGTAATTCACAGGGACAGTGATGCGGCAGTATACGTATTAATTTTTAACTATAATACAATCGTGACAAAAGCATCGTGTGTTAACGCATCGATTATATTGCGCACATTGTAATTAATTGGAAACCAACAATTTAATCCTTCGAGTGCAACGGTCTCGAACTTTCGAGCGGTTAGTGAATGAACATAACGCGTGCGGTGAACGTCTATGGACGTTTTGCGAGCATGATTAACACGCATAATTATCAACAACCCTCCATACACGGCGTATAGTCTGTGATCAACATTTAACAACGAAAAAAATTGTAAGAAGATGTGTGTGAAAAATTTTTATTATATCATTACAGACCAATCGATCGAGGCAAAATGTGATATTATTAAGCACCAAATCGAAAATTTTAATTATTATTTCCTTCGTTCCATTACTAAAAATCTCATCGTCAAAGTTACATCGTATCCGCATAATATAATAATTAATATAACAATGGTAACGACACGTTTAGAAGGTGCCCTCCTAAAATAAGAGAAAATGTTTAAATTATCCACATCTTTCTACGTTACAAACTTTCTTTCGCGCCTCCTTTGTAATGTAAGAACCCCTCCCACTTTTGAAAACGCTACTCAAAGTGATCACAAAAATAACTTTTCGAAACTCGATATCAAAGAATTTCATTCAACTTTTATACAAATCTACAGTTCCAGACTGCTTGGTTACTTTATACACCGTGCTTTTCATTAATCTTCCACTGTAAAAAAACAAAATGGACGTCTTGTTGCATTCTGCTGTGTACGATTCGAAAGTTACATTTTCTTTTATAGACTCTTAAATAGGTTGCTACAAAGAACAAACCGCTTTGATTTAGTTCAAACTGACTCAAGCTGTGCCATTACATCGAAATCTGAACGGAAGCATTTCGAAGTTCGGCCAATGTCGCATGCTTCTGTCCAACATATTTTTAGACTGTTCCCTCGAGGAGCATCCTGTGTCCGTCAGACAATCTGTTAGACAGAATAATGACGGTACGCAAACGGGTCATATCCTATATGTATGTACGTTTGCGACACTCGCAGGCAAAATGTTACTTTGTCTATAACATTTACTCACAAATAGAATCAGACGATTGAAACTGTGACTGAACAATTGATTTTTAAATTTTAACATTTCGTTCATCTTCCTCCCCATTATTCTAAACAAATCATTTCGAATTTTGATTCATTAAAATTCCTACTAAATACTTATTCTCTTAAACATATTTAGAAGTCGTATCGTATATGTATAAATTCGCATCGGTAATTAACGCTTAGTCGGTCGTTTCAATTGTATATTCAGGAGCCTCGCGCGAATTGTATGTTTAGACAAGCGGTAGTTATTCCAATATCCAAAGTTATATTTAACTATTTCGGTGCATTTTGGCGGAACTCCCAAACAACTCGGCATTATTTACGGTGCGTAGACCGAAAAACTCTACAGCCAACATCACCAGACGACGATTCTTGTCTGAATAATGACGTTCTCTTCGCGACGTAACAACTATGTCATTCCTCTATGTTTTCCACAAGTAGACATATAATACGAACTTTTAAATGTATCGTAACATCTGACAAAATCTTGAGAAATTTAAAAAAAATTAATCTTATTTACCTATTTGTTCACAGGTATATACAATGGGCTTACAAATAGTGAACTCTGTGTTGGACAAAACATTGTGGATAGCTGACACGGTGAACCTTTTATATTAAACCGAGACAATGCTTTATTCTACCACATTTTCATTCCACTAAGCTTCAGGTACAAATTGATACCAAGCTTTAAGTCACTTCTTCGATTAAACTTAGAAAAATTGTAATTCAACGAATCGTTGTTATCAGGTTACTTAAGGCGAAGCTTACAATAACAATGAAAAGGAGGAAATTATTATTCTTACGGCAAAGTTACTTTGTTTTGAATTGAACTTTCATTACGAAACTGACAATTACCGAATGAACAAAAATGACGGTCTCGTACCAGTCTCAAATCGCTAATTCCACAAGATGTGGATTCACCAAACTCTTATTTATGCGGAAAGGTTCACTTTACAAGCTAATCTACAGGGAACTTATCCTATTTCTAATGCTTTTTGGCGCGTTGTCTACTATCTACCGGCATCTACTTACTTCAGCACAAAAAAAGTGTGCAATTGATCAGTATACTTTTCGTTAAATATCAATTCTATTAACAGCGATAGGATCAAATCTCGTTATCTCAAAAGAAATATATCAACTTCTTTTACCAACATTAGTAATTATTTTCAAATATTTAATTTTTAAATACTCGTAAATAGATAATGAACCTATCGCTAGTTAAAACATAAATTAGGAATGAAAAGGACGAGCTAGAAAACGAATGAAACTTTCAAAGTCAACTTTTTTCCAGGGACTTCGAGAAGGTTGTTCTTTATTGTGATAATTTTATTAATTTAATTCCATTAAGTTTCGTTCTTGGATTCTACGTATCCTACGTTGCTCAGAGGTGGTGGCAACAATACCAAGCGATACCTTGGCCTGATAAGTGAGTTTCGAGAATGAATGACCGATCACCTGTTGTAATATTTCATACGAATATGTTTTTACAGAGCGATGCATTTAATTGCGTTATATGTTACGGGGAACGACGAGTACAGTCGTATGCTTCGAAGAGCGCTCATGCGTTACTTAAATCTTTCTTTAATACTCGTTTTGCGATCGATCAGTTCGGCAGTGAAAAAACGATTTCCAACGCTCGAACACGTCGTTGAGTTTGGTAAATTATTTAATATTTATTAAAATAGAAACTCTACTTTAAAACAAGGTTTCTTCTAACGTAAACGTACTAATTTTAACCCATAGCACGCGCTCAAATAGGACGCGTTTAATTTACTTACGTTGAAGAAAATTAGACTGATAAGGCCAGACCTATGACAAACTGGTGGATTCAATGATATAACATTCTCAACTGTAAAAAGAATACCTTTCCGATCAATTAAAACACTCTGCGCAATGGGTATACCTTAATTACATTTTTTGTATTATTTTTGTTTCACAATAAGTTTGATTTGTTAGAAAGTTAACATTTTTTATGATATTATGCACAGTGAAATTTTACTTAGATTTTTGTTAATGCTAAAGCAAATTTATTTATATATACAGGGTGTTCGACCGCCTCTGGGAAAAATTTTAATGGGAGAGACAATCAAGAATATCAATTTCTTGATTGACACTTCGTTGAAAAGTTATTAAAAAATTAACTTCAAAAATTTAAAATCGTTCTAAAAAAAATATTTTTGGCTGCAGGGGTCAATTACAATCATTTTTGGTGAATAGACATATCCCCGAAATCCTACCCACCTCTTAGAAAAAAATTCGAGAAGGTGTGACATTTTTCGACAAAACTAAAAATCTCAAATCGTTCTGGAAAAATTATTTTCGGTTGCAGGGGTCAATTACAATCATTTTTGGTGAATAGACATACCCTCGAAATCCTGCACATTTTCGAGAAAAAAAATTCACTTCGGACGGAACTTTAAACGTTAATAACTTTTTAACGAAGCCTCCATCAACAAATTGGTACTCTTGATTTTCGTCTTATTTTGGCCTCTAGAATCTCCCATTAAAATTTTTCCCAGGGATGGCCTGAACACTCTGTATATGTTTACGTATCAGCTTTTTAAAGTATTTCGTAAGATTTATGAATACATCTTTATTAAATACAATTACCACTAATAGTGTAATTAGTATGTCACTAATGTATTGTTAATATTTTGTAGGATTTATGACGTCATTAGAATTGGAATTGTTTCTGGCTGTACCAAGTTTAGAGTTCAACACTTATTGGATCCCTTGCACTTGGTTCATCAATCTTCTAAAGGAGGCACGTCAAAGACAGAGAATTCCTGATCCACAGGGATTAAAATTAATTATGGAGGTACGATGAAATTAAATGAAAGCTAACTAATCCAGCTAAAGACAACAATTTATAATTCAATGTTAATTACAGGAATTTAATGAATTTCGCACAAAATGTGGCCTCTTATGGAGCTATGATTGGATATCTATTCCATTAGTATACACGCAAGTGGTGACACTGGCAACATACAGTTTCTTTGCCGTTGCTTTAATAGCTCGCCAATACATCGACGGTAAAGAAAAACAATTCCAATTGCAGATCGACGTTTATGTACCTGTTTTTACGATTTTGCAGTTCTTCTTCTTCGTAGGATTATTGAAGGTATCTATTTGTCTTATTGCATTCGCTTCACGAATAAATTTGATTCCCGATGACTTACGATATTCGTCTGTTTTTAACATTGTCCTTTGAACATCATTCAAAAAATCGAATCGCATTTTAATAGGTAGCCGAACAATTAATTAATCCCTTTGGCGACGATGACGAGGATTTTGAATTAAATTGGATAATTGATCGTCATACTAAGGTAATTAGTTTAATTCTCGTTTCGAGACCGTTTTTATGTAACTTTTTATTTCTAAATAAATTTAGGTATCGTATCTTGGAGTGGATACTCTTATGAATCGATGTCCGCCGTTAGTTAAGGACATTTACTTCGACGATGAAAATCTGGTTCTACCATATACGGAAGCAGCGGCGGCTTACAAGAAGAAAACATATCGTGGCAGTGTGGCAAATATGACGTTAGTATTTCTTTTATTTATAAAACAATTCTTTAAAATATAGATCGAACGGTAAATGATTAATTCGTGTTTATAGTGTTCCCGAAGAGAAACAAAGCATGTTCTTACCAAATGTTATGGAAGAAGAAGAGGAGGAAGTTATGAAACAGTCACTTCATACATCGAGTATAAGTTTAGCTACTCATAATAATGATAGCCCATTAAGCGAAACACGGTAAATTTTTTCGAAACATTTCTGCAATTAAATGAAAATAAACTTTTCGCGCAAATGGAATTTTATTAAGTTAGATTCGTTTGTTTCAGCCAGATCAGCCGGCGCCCTGATACACCTACGAAGATTGCTCAAAGTTGTCCTGAAACAGTTTTACAATTTGATTTTCAAGAACCGTCGTCGTCGTTTGACGAGCCGGTGAAGAGAGTTTCATCCTTCGCGAAGTATTCGGCATCGCGAATCGATCCGAATCGAAAACCATTTTTTACGATATCTAGAAGCCCCAAAGTCGTTATGCAGCCCTCATCTAATGGATCCTATTTATCAAAATCTGTCAGACAAATTATTGACACGCCTATAGTATATAGTCATGATATTAACCCGTGGAAGGAGTATGCTCCAAGTGTATCGTACCAACCCTCGTTAGAAACCTTAGTTGCAGATCAAACTGCAAGAACGGAGGGACACTGTGATTTCGAGAATATGCATCCATCTAATAATTTCAGTACGTTTACAAATGATAGTCCTCGTTCGAATGCATGCCAGTCTGAATCTCATGCCGACGCGTGTCATTTACAACTACCAGAAACAAACTTATCAACTTTACTGTGCGCAACACCGCAGGGCAGAGGTCTCAAGCGAGTTGTGAGAAGACACAAATCGATGGAGATTGTTAAAAAGAAAGGCATACAATGGAAACAAATTATGAAAATGCAACATAGAAAAAAGGGAGACGACGTGCTAGCGATCGAAGAAGTATTGTGTCAAACGAGGAGCTCGCCAAATTTGAAACACTTGGACAATGACTCGTTGAATACAAGCAAAGACAAACACGACGACGACATAAATTCCACCGATAAAGGAAAATAAGACTAAAACTCGAAAATGTATACATGTGATAGCAATTACGAAGTGTAGAGAATGTAAAACAATGTAGAAATTTGTTACCATTTGTTGTTCAATGACATAATTTGACCAAACATTTCATACAAATCTCATTCATTATTTATATATGTATGTATATTTCAATGTTATCGCATAAAAGGTTTACGTCACCTTTACGGTAAAAGGTTCACATTTTTTGTTACAAAATAATGGTTTTACTTTTTCAAAATAATAAAGAACGAATCCCATCGAAAAATCGTAATAATTACAAAAATATGATGCTTAAAGTAATAGTTTATGTATAAGTGCTGACGTGTCGGACCAAAAATAAAAAAATTCGTAAAAGTACCCCCTGTTTTGTCGCAATCAAAGTGACGTAATTCCTTCGGTATAATTATACTTAAGGAAAACCAATGCCGCTTTTCGTAGTATCAGATATCAGAAATTAATATTTTTTACTATCGTTTTAGTACGATATTAAACAACATTAAGGGAATAATATTAAATTTAATAATTACAACATTGATATCATGCGTAAGATATTGTTAAAATGTAAAAAAATGTAATCACATATTCAGAATATATATATTGTCGAATTAATAAACACTAAAAATATTTAGACTATACAAAAGCTGCATCAACATTTAATGCGCATGCACATTAATTCTCCAATTATATATAAAAAAACGATTTAATCGATTCTTTAAATTACCACATGTACAAGTTTAGTATTAAATAATTAAAGGGATACCGTTTCCATCTGGATTGATACATACCTTTAAAAGTGCAGTAAACGCCTTAATTAAAAAGTTCTGATTTGTGCATATTATTACATTTTACTTTTAGGAACTCGTTATAATTCTTTTCAAAATTTATTTCATATATTGCATTTTTCTATTACCTATTTCCATTTTGGCACTTACCTTATATTATCTACTCTTGTTAATTGTCCGTTTGTACTTATCACTCTTTAAGAGAAAGTAAAAAAGAACACACCAATAGTTCTAAAAAAGACATTCTTATTCAATCTCCCGCAGACGTTATTATCTTACATATTTGGATAGATTGTATAATAGGGGTTCTTAAATTGCTTTGAATTAATTGTATAAACATTTGGGTCTTCCACCGTAAACGGTTGAATAATATTTGACCCCAAACTCTTCTGATTGTGCACATTTGCAATCATGTATTGCGGTGTAGGTGGAACTTGTCCAACAGTTGTGTTCTCCACTAATTTTCTTTGAGAATAAATCAAAACTTGTGAAAGATTTACATCCTGTTGCTGTACAGAGTTTTCCACGGAAACCGCAAATCCAGTATTAGTTATTTGCTGCGCCTTGCACTTCTTTCTGTGTGCATAAAGTGATCCAGCATTGTTATATCTCTTCGTACAAATTTTGCACGCATACGGTCTTTGTCCAGTGTGCGTGTATGTATGTTCATTCAACGAGGTCAGTCTTCTAAACGACTTTGTACAAATTTGACAATGATATTTTGCTTCCCCTGTATGCATCGTTATATGTCGCGCCAATGTATTTGCACGAGCGAAAGCTCTACTACAATACTGACAAATATAAGGTTTTTCTCCACTATGCGTGCGTAGGTGCAATTGTAAATAAGTGCTCTTTGTAAACGCCCTACTGCACACATTACAAACATACGGTTTTACACCCGTATGTGTACGCATATGCGCAACAAGAGAACCGCTCTGCGCAAAACACTTGCTGCAAACCTCACAAAGGAACCTCTTTTGAGTTTCTTTAACACGTTTGTGACGTTCTATGTGATTTGCTAAGGACTGTGCCTGCGCAAAGGATTTAGGGCAAATTGTACATTTGTGTGGTCTATTGTGACGATCCTAAAACAGTTTTCAATTCTATGAAAATTATTGTAAAGAATACGAATTCTTCACTCTGATTATAAAAGTTTAAATATAAGTTTACATAGAAACATTTTCAAAATATCTTATATCTGATAATTTCAAACAACTTACTTTTTTCCTTTCTTCTATACAGTCTCCCCTGTTTATACTATCCATATCCATATCGTCTCTATCGTCCAAATCGGAGATAGCAAATAATTCAACTTTATGTTTCGATTGTTCATGATCTTTCAATTTATCTACTCTCGAAAATCCTTTACCACAAGTCTCACAAGTATATTTTAATCCACTGTGTGTGGAAAGATGCCTCTTAAGATTTCTCTTTGTAGCAAATAATTTTCCACATTGAGTACACTGTAGACTTTCAGCAGGAAGGTTTTCATCCTCGTCATCCTCTTCGTCGTCTTCTTCCTCTTCATTTTCTTCTTCTTCTTCTGCAGTTTCTACTGACTTTTCTTTCACTGGGCACTGATAAGGATCATCCACTTCTTTTTTATATTCCGCGTGACTTTTAGCGTGTGTTACAAAAGACTTCTGATAAGTAAATTGCTTTGAACAGACTTTACAAATAAATTTGAAACTTTTTCGCTGTTCCTTTAAAGAGCCGTCGTTTTTCTGCATTTTTATTTTTTTATCCTAAAATACAAAAATATTAACAATACCAAGTTAAACACTGGAATAATTATAGTATCACTTGCAAAAACAGAATCTGATGCATATAAACAAAGATAAATTTTAACACACGCTTACTTGAACGTTATTAATTCTTTTATCTTTTATGTTTGCAATATCTTTCTCTTGTTCATAACTGACTCTCTTATCTTGTATATTTTCCTTCCTATCATGTATCTCGTGATAAATCTTAACATGATTTTTCATTTTTGCCAGAGTTGAATACTGTTTGTCACAAACATAACACACATATCGTATTTTAGTCTTGCGTTTATGTATGATAGCGTGCCTCTGTAGTGCCACCTTTGTACGGAAGGATTTAATACACTGTGAACAACGTAATCTAATTGTGCGTGATATAAGAGGTTTTTCTTCATCGTCTTGTATACCATCTGTTCTTGATGTGTCTTCTGTCTGTTGACGATCTGACGCTTCAACACTTTTTACATCACTGTTAAATGGAGTATTTTTATTTTGTTCCACGTGTTCTTGAAACAGAGATAATTCTTCTTCTTTAATTGAATTAATTTGACTCGCTGAATCTACTACATTATTCTGTGCCACATGCTCATCAAACAAAGACAATTCTTCTTCTTTAACAGAGTTTACTTGCGTTGCAGAATCTTTTAATAGATTCTTATAAACATTAACGCTTTCTGTTCGTTGTTTCTGTTCTATGTTACTTAATTGACTCTGGGATTCTCTTTCGAAACAAAACAATTCTTCTTGTTTAACCAAGTTGATTTGCGTCACAGAATCTTCTAATAGATTCTTATAAACATTAACACTTTCTGTGTGTTGTTTTTGTTCTATGTTACTTAATTGACTCTGGGATTCTCTTTCGTAACAAAACAAGTTTCTTTCTGAATTCAAGCAAAAAGAGGTTTCATCTTTTGGAAAACAAAAATTATCAGGACAGAAATTTGTAGAACAAACTTCTTGCCTTTCATTGTTTTCCTTCTCAGAAGATATTACACTAGATATCACATCAGCAATTATTGCTGTGACTATGCTGGCGCTGCTAACAGAATCATGAGAAGAAGACTTGAATTTGAGAAGCTGATGGAGTTTTTCATTCGAACTTTGTATTTGACATTTAAAATCATAGGATGCATCCAATCGTTGATTACAAGGCAAACAAATCACTGGGGGTAAACCATCTCCTTCTTCTACCTAAAAATAAAAGATATGTATTGTTTTAGTATGAAAAGTGTATAATTTAATAATATCAACAATCTATTATCGTAAATATTTATGTCATCAAAAGTTGAATACATTACTTTAAATATTACAAATTTCAGTTATGAGTGATTTTAACATTGTTTATCTATACATATAATATAATTCTGTAGATAAAACTGTTATTATATTAAGTTTAATATTCTATATTTAAATTCGTAAAAACGGTTAGTGAAAACAAGCATTACTGGAAACACTGAAGATTTTTACCATAAACAATTATTATTATCATAAAAAGTGGAAAGTATTAACAGAAATTTTGTATATAACATGTCATGTAAATAGTTGCTTTATGACCAAACAGTTGAAGAAATCCAAGTGTAGAATGTTAAACCTGTTGAAAACACAGTGAGTTCTAATTGTTGTATCTTTTCAAAATTTCAAACTACATAGTTTCTATCCACTCTTGTTGGCATCAGTCATTTGGAGTTAACAGGACAAATCACATCAATCCTAAAAACTTCTTCAAAAGTCACAAAGAACATACAATATTAAATTTTAAAGAATATATGAAACAAAAGATTGAATTTGAACGAAATTCGATATTCATGTGCTATCACAGAAAAAGAGTGGCAAACTAACCTGTACGGAAGCAACGGCCATAAGTTTACGAGGTATAGCGTCCCCATTTCGAAATAGTTCACAAATTTCAACAGCCCTTTTCAAACAAATCCGACATTCGTCTCCATAGATCTTCTCATACGTATCAGCTAACTGATCATTTTTCGATACTTCCATTTTAATGCATTTGGAAATCAAACTACGACTTCAACTCCCCTCCTCGGAAACCGAAGATGTTTTTGACATTTTTCATGCTCAATGTACTTGTAATTATTGAAATGTAGTTCTGTTTAAACTTATCGAGAATACTACAAAGAAATTTGCTAATCAATTCGCGGTTAAAATTTGACAGAAAGAATCAGTAAAATTAGTTGTATTTTTGTAAAGGAATACAAAAAATGATTCGGCTAATACAAAAACACATAAGACTGATGCAAGTTACTATGTGCTAATCAGATCGCAGTAATTAATGTGAATTAGTTATTCAATTTCGAGACATTTTGGAATGTTAATGATTTTTATGGCAATTAACATCAATCTACGTTCGTTTTATAATTAATTTTGATTTGAACATTTTGAGGAATAATAGAAAACGGAATGAGTTGAGGAATCAAACATAGAAGCATTTATTATTGAGTTTTCGATTATTTTTTATTATTCTATCAATTTTGTTAATCGTGTTGCCCTTTTACAACATTCTTTCCTAACCTCTGTACACACTGCATAACAAAACTTAATATAATCGTCCCTGTTACGTTCAGGTGACATGAAAATTTAATTCGATCTTTTACGTTAAATAAATAATCATATTGATTCATATGTAATGTAGGAGTAGATACATGTTAATAATTATTTATTTCTATGAATAAAAACACAAAAGTGTATATACAAATATGTAAACGTTACTTAAGAAATCGATATACAACGCTCGATATCAATTCATAATGATACATTGCATGCTTATATGTAGATCGTGAATTAATCAATTAAAAATAATCTAATTAAAGAATATGTAGTTTTTTAACTGCAGACTTATGTTAAATTAATGTCAATTTGGCAAATATCAAAAAATTATCTACTTTGTTCGATCTAAAAAGAAAACACAAATAAATTCGAATTGAAAGTAAGCAAGGTTAAGGTAATACTCTATTATAATTTGAAATATATACTTGTTATTTCTTATTGTTTGAATTTATTACTCAAGTCCAATCAATATTACATTTCGTTTTAAATATACATATCTAGTATAGACATGTTTCAACAAAACATACACAAGTATCACAGAGTAAATACAGTTGCATTTATTCAAGTACTATCAGTTACAATTGTAACGCATTTATAATAGGGCAAATCTATCGTTTGTTCTTTCTATTACTTTCCGGTTTTGTGCTCATAATTTCATGTTGAAATAAACTCTTATTAGAGTAAATTAATTATTCAAATAAAATTATGATGCCGCATAAGGTACTTTACAACGTATGGTATATTTAACAAATAAAATATCATTTAACCGAAAAGATGAGCGTTTACATAGACATATAATCATTATATATACATCGATTTTTTAATACATACAGATCAGCTTGATGCTCTTCTAGTGTTATGATAATCATCAACAGTTCAGTTTATTGTAAATAAAACAACTCGTAGAAAAGCAATTACATTTTACTATACATATGATTCAATTCAAAACTCGTTACGCGCTCATTTAACTGTACCTACTTTCATAGAATTAGATCAGTGGTTCTCAACGGAGGCGATGTGTGAACTGAAAGGGTCGATTTTGTATAGACTAATGCAGTATGTATTTCGAAAAATTGTTATGCTTCCTTCTTTTAAATTCGAAAAATAAGAAAACATGAACGTTAGTGTGTTTAAAAATCGCCCATCTGCATCAGGCCATTATAGGAAAAAGAATCTTCAAGCATCATACTTTCTCGATATTGGATCGTCGTTTCTTCGATGACCGAAATAAACAAAAGAATCATATTAAATAAAAGAGGTACAAATTAATTTAAGCATTAATGTCAAACATTAAATAAATAAATAAGAAGGGGGTTGAAGGGGGTGATCGAAGAAAAGAGATTGAGAATCGCTGCATTAGGTAGTTGCAGCTTATACGCATGCGTATCTTATTTGAATCCAGTTACAAGTTCGTTATTTCGTACCTAACACACTTTTTTTCCTTCAGAAAATATATTATATTGGAAACGCGGTGAGAAAAGTGAACATAAACTTAAAAAATAATTTAATTGCAACGTAAATTTCTGAAATACTATACGTACATAACAGTTCACTATTTACACGTTTAATATGAGTGCTTGAAATACTAATCGTTTATAATTCGAGTAATGGCTGCCATTTGAAAATTTCAAAAGTTATGTACGTATATAAGATATACGTAATTATATATTATTCTATATATGAGTGTTATTACAAATACAATTATTAGTTCTAATTTTCTCATGATTTAGGAATCCAGAGATTGTGGATGCGATGGTGTTGGAGAAGCTTTTATACATACTAAAGAATGAGGTAAATTATAGTTACCAAATAAAATGAATTTAGCTTTTATATTAATATCCATAACTTGATCAATTGCTATATAATGATTATTGTTGGTTTTGACAGGCAATAAAGAGGTTCTGCGAACTATTCTAATAACACAGGAAATGAAATTACACTTAAATTTAACACAAATTTGCTGAACAATATGTATCAACTCCATCAAACAAAGGCCAGGTATATTATTTTTCAAAAATTATAAATATGCACATTTCTGTCTTGTCCACATTTTGTACTCATAAAAATTAAGTCAAGTAGAAAATATATTGAGCTACGTTAGCTATGTTTCAGTAAACACAATGATATAATACAAATTAAAATTACCTAATACTTGATTTAATTTAGTCCATAAATCGCAAATATTTTGATAATGTACTATTAGATGCTTATGTTTTTTTAAATGATGCATGTCACAGAATCATCCACATTCCTAGGTACTCTTTTAATATATCTTATTGTTTTATTTAATTGGCCCTCATTACAGAATGCCTTTAATTGATTCTTTAATCCTTTCAAACATTCATGTTACTTTAGCATTCTGTTCGCAAATATTTAATGCCGACCAGTAAGTTTGAATTTATTCCTTAGCATTTTTCAAACTTTCTTGCTGGACGTGATCATGACACGAATAGGTGTACTTTTTCTATAGATCTTACTTGTATACATAATCGGTTGGACATATATATACTTCCTGTAGAATCTTTCTAAGATTGTTCATTTTAAGTTTGTTCCTCTCTTAATGATTCAGTTAATTATTCTCAACTTTATCCATATAATGAATAATTAAATTAATACTTTCTGTTTCTTTCTTAAAATCTCTCATTATACCTTTTCTAGTAGAAATGTGTTTCAATCTGTGTAATAATTAAATGTTTAAATACAGAAAGAAAAAATTGTTAACATTCATTACTACAAAAAATATCGAAAATAAATTCTGCACGCGAGTACAGAACCGAATAAGAGTCTCTGGTGTTCAAAATTTATTCATTTTCAATACAAAGCCCTATTGCACTCTGTTTTAACCATTTTCAGATCTACTATTGCTCCTATGAACGTATCACTAACATTTTACGATTTTCCAGTGCTTGATGACTGAACTTTCAAAGCAATGCAGCATTTAAAAATATTTTTAATGTCAAAAGAAATGTTATGGTATTGTAATACACAAACACCGATTGTTTCTAAAAAAAACAGCATCTAATGTTGCAAATTGATAATAATAATTTTACAAGGTCGTATCTATACAGGTTGTCAAAAAAAATCAAGAATAGCAATTTGTTGATTGAGGCTTCGCTAAAAAGTTATTAAGATTATATTATATCAGATTATATTTTCGGTAAGGAATTTTTTTCTCGAAAATGCGTAGGATTTCAGAGGTATGTCTATTCACCAGAAATTATTGCAATTGATCCCCGGAACTGAAAATAATTTTTTTAGAAGGATTTGAAATTTTGTTTTCGCCGAAAAATTTCTCCACCTACTGAATTTTTTTCTCGAAAATGCGTAGAATTTCGGGGGTATGTCTATTCACCAAAAATGATTGTAATTGACTCCCGCAACCAAAAATAATTTTTTCAGAATGATATGAAATTTGTTAATTTAATTTTTTAATAACTTTTTAATGAAGCCTCAATCAAAAAATTGATGTTCTTGATTTTCGTTTTATTTTGACCTCTAGAATCTCTCATTAAATTTTTTCCTAGGAGTGGCCGAACAACCTGTGTATCATCGATTAATTCTGGTCTCAATTACATTCTCAATCGGATATACACATACTTATAAAAGTTAACGTGGTTATATCCGAGAGTTGGACTCAAACAAGAATCGTATGAAGTCTTTCACAAAAAATACTAAGTACTATATCCTTTGTCCGCTATGCTTTCAATTTTTTACAACTTCGTAACTGCTTTAAGGTGAATGGTGCATGAAGATTCAAAATTCTTTGCTAACTGGCTATTCAGTATTCTAGTATCGTGTCTTTCGATGATTACCCATCCTGATTTAACAGAGTTTTTCATGGTTTTCATCAAAGACACTGACTAATGATAAACAGTGCATCACACATAATCAGAACAATTCTTAGATACATTATTAACCCGTTAGATAATAACATATTTATGTATAGTACAGTCTTGTGAAAAATAATGAATTTCTGTTTATCGTTTTAAAAAATACATACTTCAAGGGATATTCTACACCTAACGGGTTAGATCACAATTAATTATTGCACCGCGTAATTATTTCAGAAAAAAGACCGTCTATGTACAAGTTATTTTATGGCGTTTCCTTTGTGCATCTTAAATGCGGTTAAAAAAAATTTTGGAATTAGGAAAATGGTCGTCTCGAAAGATATTATAGTTTTATAAAAAAATTCGCTTAAAAGCCAATGATAACGACGAAATACTTAAGTAATCAATCATCAATGTTTGGTTTAAAAAAAAAGTTATATAAATTGGATGGAATAATAAGCTAATTCACACGATTCTTTCAAGACAGACAAACTATGCCGAATAGTTGAATAGTTGATTATAAATCTATCTTCATAGCTGTACAAATAAGCGAAAATATATGCCATATCGTGAAAATTTACTTCTTTTCGCTCGAATAGAGTAAATCAATTATAGAAAAATACAATCACGGCTATAAATGAAAGACTGCGATTATTTAAGAAATTAGGAACCTGTTTCGTTTTCTTCAAAGATCCCAAATTTATACATATAGTATACATATAATATATACTATACTAATATCTTCATCGTGATTCCAAATTATCGCTTTTTGTTTCATACTTGTCTCTTAATTGTTGGTCTGCAACGCACGATTGTCAGTAATGACTATTTTTTTTGTTCGTTTTATGTTGTACATATTTCCAACAATCAATCTCAATTCGTTCGTATTAATTAACAAAAATACCGAGTGCCCGTATAATATACTATCAACTGTTGTGCACTAATTTCCATTGTGTCAGCGAATTCACTATCTAATGACTATTATATCATTTATTACTGTTGTTTATCATTATTATATATTTTACATCGGTAAGACTCACTTTGAGAACGTCTCTATTCATCGAACTAATATAAAAAGTGCGTACAAACTACTGTGAATTTACGATCGAAAAAATTGCTTTCGTGAAAGAAAGTATTACACTTTTCAAAAGTCTTGTCAATTATAAAAAGTACAAAAAGAAGCGAAACTGATTTGTTATAAATAATGTGTTATATACAAGTGAAAGTTGTTCGTGCCATTTTTTTCCTGTACAATGGAAGCATATTTCGTAAGCAAAAATCGAAATCAAGTAAAAATATGTATGGGAAACGCGGTTTAAAGATAGTACAAATAAGTTTATTTTACAATAGTTTATAAAATGTAATACTTTCACATATATAGTCTATATAAATAGGCAGAAAGTTGAATACATATACAGGTACACTTATACACATGTTATGTACAAATTTACGGACACTCGGCAGATTTTGCGCAAACTCTTCATCGTAAAGACTTCAATTGGAACATTTGGAGTTAAATATTTCATTCTCCTATTAATTTTCGTTAAATACTTTCGTTATCGTGGTCTTTGATTGTTGTTGTTTTTTCTTTTCTAATGAGTAGCATTCATTTATATTAATTAATACTTATTAGGCCTAATATATTGCATTTCTTAAGATTCAATGCAACAGAATGATAAAATATTCTTGAATTAAAAATAAGACAATTTACATTTCATTTGATTACTAAATAATCAATGCACATATATATTTTAGTGTATTGGTTATTTTCGATTAATTTAGTTGCATACATGTTGGTAATATATGGTCAGAAAGAAGTAACAATAATTGTAAAATAATAATTTAATAACATCGGATTAAATAAAAATGATCCTATTTTAAATTTTCAAATGCCTCATTTCGTAGTTGCACTAAATCTCACGAAACATTCTTATTTCTCTATTTATTTATTCTGTTATACCTATACGATTTTGAAAAGCAAAATAGTTTGATTTCGTATTAAAAAAAAATTACACCTTTTTCTAAACACATTCCTAAACTTTCAAGTATCAACAGTTATTAAAAATAATGTTTCTAAGATATTAAAATAAGTATCGAATAAATGTAAATAACAAAAGACAATAAATTCATAAATTTACGATACAACAGGTATTTAATGTAACAAGAAATAAATGAACATTATCGTGTTACCTTTTTTTTTTTAATACAAAATCGTAGTACACTAACCTTTTCTTTTCGTTATATGCTTCTACGATAAAGATTCGAAAAATAGTGTCGTAACAGCTTAATATTATTTGTTATTTAATTATAATGAGTATTCTTTTTATCGACAAACAATATTTTCGGTTACACTGAGTTTACATCCAATGGGAACGATGCTCCTTTGCACGTATTAGTTTTATTATTTATTTATCAAGTCAAGTATGTATCGTCAAAAAGGAGGAATAGAATTCTCCTTTTTACTTCAGTGTCTACTGACTCACTGGATTCATCGACAATCATATTAATAAATATTTTCTTAAATACGTCCAACTTTTACTTCGCTATATTAAGTTTGTTAACACTTCCTGCCATAAAGAAAGCAATATCAATTCAAATGACCTTATAACTTCAAGTATTACTTTCCAGGCAGCTGTGTTCGTGAATAAATATTATATACAATTAAACTTAAGACAGATTGAACACTTTTCACACTGCCATTAATAAAAAAAAAAATTTTTAACAGTAACTGATTAAAAGTAGTATTTTCATTTAATTTATGAGCAGCCGCGTTATATCCGACATACTCATTCGGCTTGTTAAAAATAAAAATAATTATAATGTAATTAAATAAGTTATTGTTCATTCAATTCCTGCTCGTATTTACGTTACATGCTGGCAATTACAGAATTACTTATCCGTTTGATTAATTGTACATATTTTTTATACAAGTTTTCATCCAGGTACGCGTAAAATTCTATTTGACAAGAGCTGAGTAACTTTCACAACCTTTCGTAAAAAAAAATGCTTGAACAATTTGAACGTAATAAAAGCTATATATACAATAATTTTTTAATCTTTCATTGCTATTTTGTTTCACTTGGAGTTTGAATGTAACGCTAATTAATATATTTTAGAATAATCATTTAAATATCAGTTGGTAGCGTCCACCCGTACAATAATAAATATTAATACAATGTATATTGTTAGGAAGCTTTAATTATTATGTACAGAATTTAATTTACTCAGCTCGTATTAGAAAACATTAAAATTAATATCAAAGCTAATAATAATAGTAATAAAGCTTTCAATACACGTTCTGTTCGTCTGTTCAAAATATCTTATGAATCTTGCATTATTGAAAACAAAAAATCTGTTCAATGCAAGTTGTGTGGTGCATACATAGTCTATAATCTTTCGTTTAAAAATATTCGATTTCACATCTTTAACAAGATAAATGCTGATAAATTTAACAGACAAATGTTTATAAATTCTCAAGGTACGTCGTTTTCGACATACCCTAACTGTTATTTTAAAGCTCTCTTTTGTTCAACATATAACGTTTATTTTGCATTGTTCTATACTTTATTTTGGCGTTTAAAATTTTATCCTACCTGTATTAGAAATCACGGAGAAATACTTTTGATTTTCGTCTTTTGATTCGGTAAAACACTCTATAAGTTGTGTAAATTACGAAAAAAAGCAAATCTTAATACAGTTTTACGAGTATCATTCCGTTCCAGAATTTAAATTCGATTTCAAAAGTACAAAAGTACCTGATCCAAAACAGCGACTCGCGCGTTCATCAACGTGAAAGTTACATCGGACTGATGGTGCTGGTGTTCGAATTAAAGGACGAACTGTTCGAACTATCGATACAATATGGCATTACCTTTCCGTGCACACAGGAACTGGATGTGTCGCAGTTCAAGATCAACAATAGCAGCCCGGAAACAGCAGCGAATACGCCCGCGGTCATCAGACCTAGCGCGGGAAGCTTCTTGGGCGAGAGAACTGGTCCCTCTTCGAGTTTGAGGTAGCAGAGGCCAGGAAGAACGTAGGCTAAAGGTACAGCAGCTAGGATACCGTTCAATTCAAGGACCAATCCGAGGCAATCCGTAGACATCGAGATCAGGTATGCCACAATTACTATCGTCAGTGTAATGATCAGGTACTTCCTGTCGGAATTAGGAACATATGCTGTGTGATCCTCCACTTCGTCCGTCCCTTTAATCGCTGTTAGGACTACCTGCGATAAAATATAACAATACACGATTAACTTTCACCAAAATCTCTATGGTGAATTTCCCACGACTCAAAACTTCGGAACCCGATACAAATAAGTGAGAAGAATCGTAAATTTCGAAGCGCGCTTATACAAATTTCGCTCGCTGTAAGTATTGATCTATCATCGTTCGCCTCTATTCATTGTACTTCGTTCCACCACGTACTCGCTATATATTTGCATTTACGTCGTTCCCCTGCTCATTATTCTACATTTCCCCCTTTATGATCCACCCACTTCCACCAGTTATTACACATACTATTGCATTACTCCGATCGTCATTATATCCTAATTACACTCGTACGAATGCTTGCGTTCTCTTCTTATTTAATTTTAGCTTAAAGATCACGTTACTCGAATTATCCCGATATTAATTTTTTACTTTTCTAAAACATTTTAAACAATTATTTTGGTATCAGGATTTTCACGAAATTGAGGATTATGATTTTTCTTTCGAGAATCGAAAACTCACCTCCCTTGTAACGAAGCACTCGATGGGAAAGGTCAAGAGAATGGTTCCGCTGAACATGACTCTTGCGAAGTTCATCAGATCATCGTCCCAGCAATAATTCTCCATAAGATCACCTTGAACGTACGCGGTAAAAGTGGCGTATCCGATTATCCCAAAGGCTGTCGCGATCAAAAACGAAGTGAAAAGTGACCAATGAGTGACGACGTCCCACTTTTGTTGCGTGGCTCTCTCTATGGATTCGTAGATAAGGAACGTATTATGATGGCACATAAAGGCGAATGCCATAATTCCAACGGAGGGTATTATGCCGGGGAAGTTTGCGAACCGCCAACTATCTTCCTGGCTTGGCCTGAAAATCGATTGGTATTTAATCATTTTCAGCGCCGTTGATCTAAAATTTATGTTCATTGGTCCTGAATAAAACTTGCCCAACTCTGGTTTGATCAAGTATCTTTTTTACCAGGTGTTGCATGTTTTATTGAACGTATGCGAATCTTTGATGGATTGAGTCACTTACACAATTGCGGACATCGTACCCATCCGAATCAAGATGGCCAAGAGTATGAAACCGACACAGACCAACGAAAGGAAAGAGATCTTGGCCAAACGAGCAACGTTTCTGTAAAGACACAGTGGTATTGTAATACAGACTGTCGCGAAGAAAATTACCACTTGACGGTGAGCGAAGATGCTCGTCTCGCTCATCCCTGTTACCCTTATTAGTACTTTCGTCACTGTGTCGCCGACAACAACGTTATAAGAGACCATCGCTGTAAAGAACGGAAGATTTAATTTAGCCCACGAACAATGGTACTTGTACGTAAAAGTGTATTCAAGTACGTTCTCTAAACGATACCGAATAAACCTATGGACTAATGAGAATGTTTACCTATGAATGGGTAAATAAACTGCAAAGTGGTGAGAATGTAAAATCCGGTACGGCCAAAACTGGCTCTCATTAAACCCTGGTAACTCATCTCTCCGCAAATATGGCCACTTCTGACCATTAAAATTAAAGAGTAATCAGTGAGACCAGCTACTAATATCAGTAATGCTATCCCAAGGCCGAATCCAGCTTGATGAAGGGCATAGGGTATGCCTGAAACGTTCATCGCCCTTCTCAATCATTGAGAATAATTGTTACTTCTTAAACACCAAAGTAATTTTCATTTTAATATCAATTTTGATACTGTCCATTATGCTTCAGTTATATTGAGCAAAACCAGCACTATGGCAGGTGTTTCCCGATGAATCATTCGTTATATAGAATGTCCAAATGAAGTTAGGCACCAAGCCAATAATGTCGCCTGAAGAAACAAAGCTAATACGAATCACTGAATTTAAAGAAGGCCAAGGATTTTGATTTTGTCTACGAAGATTTACACGTACGAAAGGGTATATAGCCGAATAAGGGGGTCAAATGAGCCCTTGAATCAAATTTGACATACGATGGATTCGTCGATAGAGCATCAGAATGAAACATTCTGTGCCAAGTTTCTCCTCTCTATCTTGTTCGGAAGGGTAGTTGTAGGGAAAATTCGGTTTATCGAATTTGTGCCTATTTTCCGTATTTAATCGAGTACGAAAATTACGTAAAAAATCTGGTGCACTGTGGTTATCGAGATACGTGTTCAAGAATTTTTTTCGATTTTTCAAAAAATTAAACATGCAAAAAAAAACGCAGAAAAATACGGATTTCGTATAGAAGCTTTCGAGACACTAGATTTATATAATTAATTTCCATGTTGAGCAGAACAGTGTATAATATATACATGTAATATTGATCAAACTTTGGTGTTTAAGAACGATTTATTGTATCATGTATCCAAATTACCAATGACACCACTGCCAATAATGGAATTGATGAAGTTAAAACTAGCCAGAGGTAGACTATTGAATTTTCCGGATTCTTCCTCCTTCTCCTGCAAAATCAAATTTTACGTGTCTACAAATAATAAGAAAACAAAAATTGTTCAGAGAAAAAGTGAAGATATTAATAAACTGACAACAAATTCGAATCCATACTGTCTTGACACATCGAATGAAAACCTGAATTAAATTAACTTGTGGAAGAAAGAGACATGAAGTCAATCTTGAATCTGTACTAAAGTAGAGTGCAAATTAATACAAAATCGATTTCATTGCATACAGCTAGAAGATTTGTTAGTAAACCACAATTCTGGATTAGTTAATTAATTGATGCTTACCCCGACTAATTGTCTCATATCATCGTAAGACTCTTCTGAGCCAAGACTGCCACCCTGTTTGGAATCAAAATAAACCGTTAATTAAGCGTTAATTAAGCGTTCATAGTATAATGTTATCATGGAATACACAGCCCATGCACTGCATTATCCTTTTATTTTAAAACGAAATTACAACAAAATATTTTAAAATGTCATTCTGATCATTTATTCAGCAATAACAGAAATCTGATTTCGTAATTTTTTACGTAAAAAAAAACTTCACCATATTCAAATTTTGAAGTAAAAATTTCACTAAAAATTCATTATATGCTGTATATCATCCAATTTAATTATATACCAGACAGTTTTATTCGTATGTTATTCAAAATATTTATACTGTTCTATTCAAGTGCCCCACCCTATTGAACCATATTTATGGATGAACTTATGACATGTTAAAACTCATTCCATACAAATATTTTATTATGATGTACAAGATTATATATGTATATTAATTTTATTGAAATTTATATATATATTAATTAATATATAATATATATATGTTAATTTTAAATAATATATATATGTTAATTTTAAATAACAATATTATCATGTGCCTATTATATCGTTTTTCGTTTGAAAATTAATTAATTGTTTTCCTCGATAAATAGGTCAATAACCCCCTTGCTCTCAGAAAATGTTAATGCTGAATAATAAAAAGATTTTCAATCATTCCTCCTTCACTTAATTTAAATGATTGAACCTATATATGTGAAAAAAAAGAATTTCAACCTATATCAAGTAGGTGAACAAAAGAAATACATAGGAAGAGCATCCATATACACATGTGAGATGACTTATAGATTTTTTCCTTTGTTGCAATAGTACAGGACCTTCGAAATGCAAGATTTACTTCTTGTTTTTTTTTCAAATGAACATGACTCTTAAAACTATATTCGGAACAATTTTGTAAATTCTTTCATTTTTCCTCGTTATACAACTTAGAAAACGTTTTGTTAAAATATCGATTCAAATTTTCAAATGACAAACTTGTGCAAATTGTGGAATCCATGTAGAATCTATATCTGTTATATTTCCATATTTTGAAATACGAATTTTTGCAAATGATACAAATCAACTTTTCTATTAAATTTCGACGATACTAATACGTTCTTTTTCATTTTCACCCGTTAATCAAGGTTTTGCAATTCAATCAACCTTGACGAGTGATAGATCAATTTATCTGTTTGCGCGCACCTGCTAACCAACACACGCAAACAGGAAAATCGTCGCGCGAATCACTTGAAACAAGTAAATGGATCACGTAAAATCCTATATTCTCGCTAATCGAGTTATCCCTTAGTGTACTTCTTTAATCAAACAACCGACGCTTATTTTATCGTGGCGATTCACTGGGTAGAGGTACGGGGAATACAATCTTTACTGTATCGCGTACATCCCTACGTAGGATCAAAGGACAACGAGGATTACGATAAATTAAACGTTACTTACATCCTCGTAGCTGTTCCTCGCGTCCAAGATGTAGCTTTTCTCGTTGGTATCGATAGTCATCGTGGGTGGTAGTTAAAGGGAAGAATCGAAAGTGTAACCGAATGAACGGAAAGCTTAAAGGGAAGGTCCGATGCAAGAGTAGGATCAAGCAGACGTTTAAGGCGACTGCACCCTTCCTATCTACGCGAGCTTCCGTTTTCACCCCTTGTTCCACCAGTACTATGTATGAACGGTGGTTGCAATGGGTGCGTGCGCATCGTACGTTGATGTTTTTCTGCGTTATCGAAGGGTGACGGTGTCTCTCTTATCACGTAATCGGGTGTTTCCACTTTTCCTCTAAGTCGATTTCCTGGTTTTCCTTCGGTTCTCTCGTACCGTGGGCTTCTTTGAGGCAATCGGACGATAATGAATGTAATCACAGATAGCTGACGGGGGCGTATATTTGCAAATTATTTCGCAACGAATCATTCTTATGATTTATACAGTATTTACACACTAAGCGATATTGTCGTACTTCCATTGGAATTTTTTCTGTTTTTCTTAGCTATCGACCGCGTCTTTTCTTTTTAACAACAATGGCCACGTGCCAAGTAGTTCTTATGAATTTAATTGATTTCTACGTCGGTATCTTTAATTATTGGATTTAACAATATGCTACAATAACAGAACTTACAAATAGTATTCGACAAGCGTGGGATAGGTAGTATAGACGTAGAAGCCTTAAAAAATTTAATTGACAATATGAATAACAGAATTTTTGAAGTTATTAGAGAAAATGGTGGTACCAAGCACTATTAACCTGTGAAACACTTTGTTTTTGAAGTGGTTAATAATATAAAAACATTTTTTCTTAACTCTCGTTTATTGGTTTCTAATAAAATTATCGAGTCTATTGAATTATCGCCTTTTTACTGGCGCGTACAAAATGGAACAAAAAATAATTAAATAATTTATTTTATCAAGTTTATTATCTTTAAACAATTATTTTAGTTACCACTTTATAAATAGCATAAGTGTTATAAACATACAAATAATGTATGAAGTAATAGGAATTTATATTAAAATAATTAAAAAGTAAAAAAAGAATCATTTATTACATACAATTAAAAAACAAAAAATCGTAGTTTTCACGTATTTTCACAAATGTTAACAAAACGGCGACATATGTTTTATTTAGATAAATATCAACAGGGATTAACTAAATAGTTAATAGATACATACACACTTTAAGCAAAAAACATATTTTTCAACACTTCTTTAAACACAAACAAGTCTCTTGTTATTTTACTTCTAAAATTAATTATAATGACTATTTAATACATAATAAATTTACCATAGGAAATAAGAAATCCATTACTAATACTTGAGATATCAATATTTAATGAAACATAATTATTAATATTTACTAATTATATTACTCATTAAATACTTAATTGACTGTACAAAGTAACTGTAATGACGGAAATGAATTGTCAGTAAATTATTTTTGATAATAAAATAATGATGCAATATTTTCTTAATTACTTATCATTATGTACTAATTGCTACGTCGCAGTCAATCAGCTAATCGTTAATTACAAATTACGAATTACCAATTATATAATTGCAGAGCTAATCTAATTTATCAGCAGTTTTTGAAAATTATTTTCATACATAGAATTTAAATTTATATAAAATTAAATTCAAGATGCGAAAGCGTAATTTTACAAACATGATAATCTTTTTCTTTAAATAAAATAATCACAATAAAGACAGACAAAATAAAAATTATCTTATACAACTTTTTTTATTCAAAATTAAAAATTTGCCGTAAATGTTTTTAAAATGATAATATGAATATTTTCTCTATATTTTAAGCAGTATAACATAGCAATTCGCGATTCCAGCAACTTATATCTTTTTAAAACCAATGTTCTAATACACGACATAAACGAAAAATTGTGTCCAAAACTAAGAGAAGAGATTTTCTGCATCGCTTCAAGATGCATTAGCATAACGCTTGTATGACACTGACCTGAAACAATCTTTTTAGTCGAAATAGTTACGACAAAAGCAGACAAAATAGTAAAAGTTATTCTTTCTACAGACCCACAACTTTTTAGTCAAAAAGCTTAAAATTCTCCGTAAACATTTTTAACTCTTTACGGACGGACATTTCAGATCACGAACATTAGGGAAGCGCAGAAAACTAACGTATATCTAAAAATTACTTTATCCAATGTATAAGTTTTATTTTAATGTAACGAACTGTTACATACGTATTTATGAAATCAATATTTATCAAGTTATGATAGTGGATTTCTAAAGAACTTCCTGATGCACGTCCGAAACAATAAAAATATGTTATTCGGTATATGCTGACACCGTCCGCAAAGGATTAAAATCTGTGGGAAACTTAACAGAAGTTTCAATCAAATGCAAAAAAAAAAAGATCTAACATTTAATTATAACATTTTGAATAATTTATCCTATGGCGTAATAAATACTTTTTCAAACGTTGATTTTCTGAATCGTTTTTGCAATGTATTCTCGTCACTTTCACAGAAAATTGCTCATTTTTCGTTAAAGTTAAAAGACGATAAAAACTTCTTTTTTATAGACGTAGTAATAAAAACAAACTTATTTATTTTATCTGGATATTCCTAATATTCAGGAGTGCCTTGAAGGATCTTGACAAGGTACCACAAACCATCCATTGTTTCCTGAAACTGCAGGACCCACCATTTGAGTGTTATTTAAAAGGGCACTATTTATTCTCTGATTCTTCATTATCTCCAATTGTCGTTTTAGATTTCGATACAGCTTTATCAAAGATTCCTGCAATTGGAAAATGGGCATAAACTTATTACATTCAATCTTAAACTTGCATAAATTCATGGATAAAACATTGTAAACATATTTTACTATATAAAACAATTGCTAGATCATAAGTCATAAATTAAATCAACTTGCTTTTTCATCTTCAAGTTTTCTAAGTTCCTCCTGTTGCCTTAAACTGTCTATAGTTAAATTTTTAAGTATTTCGTTTTTATGTTGCCCCAAAAGAGCTATTTCCGTTTGAACTTTCAAATACTCTTGTGCTAGTTGTTTGTGCTCTTCAAAGATTTCTTTTGATCTTTCACAAGTTTGATCTGGTGTTAATGGCCTTAAATCTGCATCCAGCAGACGGTACACATTATCTAGATCTTCGTTAGTTGTACTATTACCTGTTAATTAATGATAATAAATGAGAGTCAATCTTTAAACAATTAAGAGTAAATTATTTCTTTTAAACGAATTCTTATTAAACTATTTTTTATAATATAATAAATTAATTTTAGAACTTCTTTATTCGAATTAATGACAATTAAATACATTATTTATACCAATGGCTCACTTGATTTTTATGTTAAAACTTATTCTTTTATTTTGAACTTTGTTTCGGTTAAATTAATTAACTTCAAACATTGATTATATGGTCAAATTACAAGAAATTATGCCTTTAATCAACAACGTTCATTTATAAATGAACTGTGCCGATCGGATGGGTAAATTTTCAACCCCTATTCGCCTACTCCAAATTTTCCATTTTCCAATCTTAAAGAAGTCATCCTTCTTGACAGTGGAATAAACAAACAAAAGTACTAACGCAAAAGGACCCAGCACCGTTTTAGGGTGTCCGTGGCTACGATGTTTGGGCATTCCTCGCACATTTCCAAATACTGGAGCCTATCGAGGCTTCATTCATAATAAAATCAAGATTCTCACATGAAAGGTGTCACACCGATCAATCTCCACGAACTGCTCGATTTCCGAGGATATCAACTAACCGAACGGTGAGAAAAAGATGAGAAAAAAATTCGTAGGAATGAAATTTCCGATAACGAGGATAACAGAAAAAGAAGAAAGAAGAGGAAAGACCGTCGTTCTTGATGGTGGGTCGGGAAAGCACTAAACAAACGTGCATCTATATTGGGCCTGGTGAGTCAGCCACACCTGCTTCGAGGTATCCCCCACCAGACATGACGTGCAAGCACGAGCCAAGAAGAAAATACGGTTCTTCAGCTCTTAATTCATCTTCAGGGCTGATTAGGTCGAAACTTTGATTTTTACAACGATGTCATGGCAAACAACTGAAGAAGCATTCGTGAGAACAGCAAATACAAATCACATTTTGAGAAAATACTGCAAGTGAACTCGAATCTGCTACAAAAGAGTATTCGCTTTAATAGACGAACGTTACGCTACACTCTTAACTGTTAATTTCAATACTGGCGAAGGATAAACATTCGCTGAGCTTTACCATGAAATATTTCGTGAATTATTAATCATTTATCATTGAAACAGTTTTTCATTACTCTGGTCCCACGCAATCTCTGTCGAGACTGTGTTTTACTGTGCTATTTACAATTCTTTTTTTTTTTATTATTGAAGACTTTAGAATATGACCTTTATTACCGTCGATAGGTGTCAATCAAGAACAGGTTCTACCGATTAGTCGTCAGTTAAATTTAGTGTAGCTGCACAATGTGACTGTTTTCGCGGGCCCTTTGCCAGGGTAGATTTCGCCGATCGACGAACCCCAAAGGAATTTGTCACGGCGAAATCGCAACGTGCCAGGTGCAACGTTTAAGTTCTCTGCAATTCCACTTTTATACATCTCCGCACAAAGAACGCGAACCATTCATAAAACACGTATGAATAAAATAGAACGATGGCATAAAATTATACGAATACATAAATATATACAAATAAGATTGTAAACAATGTACATTCAATTTTAACAATGAAATTATTAATTAAAACCGCGATTTTTACATCTAAAAATTAATTTCAATTTCTCGTTATTTATTTATTATAACTATTGTCGATTACATCCGATCGCAAAAGTATAAAAAAAATCTAAAATTTGATATTAGTGAAAACATTGTATTTTTTTTACATAAAACGAAAATAGTAAAACATAAATTATGTACTTTTCGAAAGTCTAACGAAATTATATTCGTCGCTATCAATTATTTAAAAAACTTTTGAATGGCGACAATAGGTCTGCGTTCACACATTCCGCGCTAAAAGCAAGGTTTTGTGGAACATACGAAGAACGTTATTTTGGGATTAGAGTAGTATCGCGATGAGTCACAAATTCGAAGCTCTCGCCCCCGAGCGAGATCCCCTTCTTTTGCAGCTATAGAACAACGACGAACTTATCGACGAATAATTTAATCATTTGTACCGTGTTGCGCTTAAACAATGAGTGAAGAAAAATAATTCTTTAACAAAGTAAAATGGAAAAACATATGATACAAAAATTTTAAAGCAATCAATGGAAAGATTAGTTTTTACCTCAATATTAATATAACAACAAAATTAATATAATAACTAGGTTCAAATGACTCGTAATTATTTGAATACTTCACTCATAAAATTAATATTTCACTGAGAAAAGTAGAACATTTTAAAATATAAATATTAATTAAATTATTCGTAACTTATATGGTTTATAAAAATATGGCACTTACTTTGCGCAGTATTTTTTGCTTTCAATACGGGAGAGACTAACGGTGGATCAGAACTTGGCAATTCCCAAGCATTCTGTAATTATAGACATAAAAATGTGTTACAAAAATAAGTGTGAAAATATATTAGAAAAGGAGATATAAAAATTTTATACGATCTTTCCAATGACTCAACTATTAATAAATTATTTTAAAAACAATTAAAATAATAAAATCAAATGTTACTTTATATTGTCTGTGTTACTTCATTAATCAATTAATGTGAGTAATTGCTAGATACAATGGCTATAAAATCTAATATTTAAACAAATATTATTATAAAACTTGGATCAAATGATACTAACCGGATCGCAATCAATATGTAGTGGTGCAAAATTTTTGTTCTGCAACTTTTTATGGGTTGTATTGTCTAATGAATTATTATTTTTACAAGAAACATTCCTGAAATCGTAGAAGGGAGTGGATGAACTATCTCTTCCATTTGGAATTTCCGACTTTTCTTTGGAAACAGGTACACTAACTCTGATAGTACCATTAGCAGCATATCCGTTTACTTGAGAGTCCAAAGTACTAGTCACATCTAAGGTGTCATCTTTCAAAACATGGTTGTCACTAATTTCCTCTGATTCGGCACCTACATAATAATGAAAATACAATATGAATGTTGGCACATGTATTATTTTAAATGACTTCGTTTTAAATTCGTTTTAAATTCTTTCTACTATACATATGTACATCGTGTTTTTTCTTATATGTATATTTACGAGTAGTACACATACTTAGAGAATATTCAACAGGTTCCAAATGATCACTAAAAAACTGTGACAAGGTTGTCATTATTTCTACAACTTCGTCCATTGATGGTCTTTCTTCAGGAGATTTGTGCCAACACCTGAAAAATTAATTATTTCTTTTTCATTGGATAAAAACAATTTGAAAATGTTGGTCTTGGAATTATAAATCCATGTTTTCAATTAGATTGTAAATATCTATGTCAAATTTAATGCTACTTAAGATTATAGAAAACATTACATATATTATATTGTACTAGTATAGTTGATAATCTTTTCAAATAAGTTAAGTACAGATGAACCTGTAATAAATAACATTTAGTTTAAAGAAAATCAGCACCTGAAATATTAAGAACATGTGTTAATATTATTCCCATGATGGCTTGTGGAATAAACACGAAAGTGACTTAAAAAGTCGTAATTCGATGTGAAATTCATACTTGTTAAGCAATTATTAATATAGACTGTATAAAGTTAAATGACATGAAAACCTATATACTGATATTAAACCAAGTATTTGTAATTACTGAATTGTACAGTGTCTATAAAGAATTTATATAAAAATGAAGAATTATGAAATAATATAAGGTAATAACAAATAGAATCACAGCAGATATCAAGTAAAATATTTTCCAAAAGTATTCTTTATTCATAATTGAATAAAATTTTAAATATGAAGTGATTTAAAAAGCAATTATAATAAATTTTATAATTTGACTCAACAGAGCACTAAAATAGTACTATAAATTTGTAAAATATTACTATAATTCATACATAAAATAAATTATATTGCAAGAATATCCAAACCATTGAAAAGGACACAGGACTTTTTCATAAAGTTGTTGTATCAAGTAATACACTAATGTTAGAGGTAATGTAGGCATAAGCTGTAATATGGTACACTTAATAATCTTGATTACAAGGGTGGACACATTAAAAATTCTCTTAAATACTCCTAAACTGTTTTTTAACGAGTAATGTAAAACAAGAAGTAGATACCTGAAGGTAAGATCTTTCTTTAAAACACTTCTTTCTACTGGAACTATTTAACAGTTGTTCCCTTTTACCAACAATACAAACGTAATTGTGTACAATGAATGTACGCAATTACGAGGATATGGAAAACTATCCATTGTAACATTTCTTTCCTAGAATTATTTAAATGTACACCTTTCTGGAAACTATTGAAGATCTCTAGCTAATGTACATTCAATTACTCTATTAAATATTTTCCATCTTCCTGAATTCAACACTTTTCTTTCGACATTTTACTGTCAGAAAAGTTTGTGATGAAAATAACTGGGAGCATTCATCAAATTTCTTACAACAAAATCAACTCACACTATCATAGACAACAATTTGAGAAACAAATCGTACCTTTTAACATTCAGTCATCATGAGAAAAACAAAAGGAAATGTAGACGAGTCATTAGACCTAATGGAATCCATAATGGACAAGTATCATTGAAGACAATTTCACTTACCACTAAACTTTGCTCCCAGTGCCTAAACATTGAGGGGGATGAACGAGTGGATCGCTGACTCGAAGAAGAATCCGGAGTTGCTAAAAGACCCCAATTTCTTTAATGAAAATTTTATGATGAACTATGTGCCCCAATCTTCACCCTCACCTAGGATAAGACCTAAAATTCATAATAAAAAATTTAGAAAAGCTCTAAATAAAGACGTAAATCAATCTCAGAGCGAATGAACTTTCCACAATTACAACTTGTGAACAAGGGTTTTCTAAAATCAAAATCAATCGAAATAATGAAGCAGTATCCATTTCTCTATGAAGAATAATTTAAATTGTGGAACATTTTGAAGAAAATAATTCATCCCTTAATCTACTATAATATATTATTCATAACGACATGGGTACAGTGTACATAAAATTGTTTGAAGGTACTGTACACTGATGTTATCGTCATTAGCGATAAAGGAAGTACGAACACTGTGAAGAGGATATAAATTGCTGAAGAAATTTTATGTCAAACAAACAACTAATATATTTAAGCATACTTGCAATATGAGCAGAAATTTCTTGCTGAAATTTAGAGAAAAGTATAATCGTTATGTTTATTGTAATCATTATTAACATTATATTTGTAAAAATATTTTCTGTCTATACTTCAATTAATAGATTTATTTTAGATAAATTTTGTGTCTTGTATGAATTTACACTTCAAACATCATTAGTACTTTTCAATGGTTTGTATTACTATAAATGATATTGTACTCTTACATACAGGGTGTCTGGCCACCCCTGGGAAAAATTTTAATGGGAGATTCTAGAGGCCAAAATATGAATCAAGAATACCAATTTGTTGATTGAGGCTTCTCTAAAAAGTATATTAACGTTTAAAGTTCTATCTGTAGAACGGCAATCTACGAACAGTTGCGCATTCATTGCATTTTGAATCATTAAAATCCATCAATACATCCAGAAAACATTTCTGGTCACACATTACATTTATATACTGAATCATTATTGCTACTGATAGATACCTGGTCATGAGATCTTCGATTGGTTTTGGGCATCCTTCAATTAAAGGAGGTCTTTGTCCCACATGCACTGCCCACATTATTCTATATGCTGAACCACCAATTTCATCAAATGGTTTTTTTCTGGACAATAGCTCCCATAGAATAACACCCCAACTAAATACATCACATTTTTCTGTATACCTAGAACCCTCAAATACTTCTGGAGCCATCCAAGCAGCAGAACCTTTATTATTAGTCATGTATGTATTTAAATCACAAGCTGTACCAAAATCACAAATTTTAAGAGTTTGTCCACCCATTACCAATAACAGATTTGGTGGCTTTAAGTCTCTAAAAATACAAATAAAAATAATGCGATATTCAAATAACATATTACATTTATGCTAATGTAAAATCAGATTTCCAACAAATAAAAATATAGAAACACACATTAATTTATTTTACCTATGTATCAGAGGTTTTGGTTTCATATTATGAAGATATGCAACACCCCGTGCGCATTGTAGAGCCCAACTCATTGCATGACCTGCAGTATACCGCGGCTGAGGATTACAGTGTAAAACTGTAAAATGATAAATAACAGTTAATGTCAAATACTAAAAAACAAACAAAGAAACAAATAGATTGTTCTTTCTTTGTGTTTTGTACTATATAAACACTATTATTATTGCTTACTAATTTTACTATAAAACAGAAAACAAAACATATTCAAAAATTAATCTGAGGAACAACAATAATAATGGGTATATATGCAAATATTATATATAAATAATTGCAATATAATTTCACAAAATAAAAAATGAAAGATACCATTGTATAAGGAACCCCCTTCTGCATATTCCATAACAAGACAAACTGGATTTTTTGTGCAAGCGCCATAGAGTTTAACAATGTTAGGATGCATAACCCTTGATAGTTGTCTCACTTCTACTGTAAAGGCCTTTCTTTCACCTTCTGAATTTATGTATTTTACAGCAACATATTGTCCTCTCCATTTTCCTTTCCACACTACTCCAAAAGAACCTTTTCCTACTACCTACATAAAAAAGTAATTTCTTTCTAGATAACATAAAACTTTATTTATATATATATACACAAAGTAACAAAAATGTTTGTCTAAATTACAAATGAAGTAATTTATATAAATATCATATTTTAGTGTTCTTTGAATTAAGAGAATGTTGATAAAATAAAATTAACATTAATAAAACCAGCATATAAAATACAATTTAAATTGAAATAATAATTCAGTAATAACGTTTTTGAATATCCTGACTTTATGTACATAATTTTATTCACTTGTATTAAATTTGTTTGAAATTTTAGGAAGTGATAAATACAACAACAATCTGTTAAAATAAAATGTATTCAATAAATTTTTGTATTAATAGTCTTTTAAATGGAAATCTTTTTCTAAATCTTATCTTCAAAATAACAATGTATAAAAATTCAAGTACACTTCGTCAATAGCAATAATTAGAGTTACTTAAAGAGTCTTCTGATATTGTTTAGGTTATGTTTAAAAAAAAATCTATAAGGATAAATCATGGAAATTCCGAATAACTGAAAATAATCAATGTTAATTAATATTTTATTATAAAACAACAGAAAGTTAAAAATAAGTTTGTTTAAGGAATTAAGAAAATGACTGCATAATTAAGATACCTGCTCGGTTTGAATTTCATCGTAGTTAATTTCTTCAACAAACTGCTGCTGATGGCTTACTAACTGTTTACCCGCCATCACATACAGTCGACATCACATTAGTTTCAGGGTACATTTAATTACTGGGCAAACTGTCACGTTTAAATGTTTATTCAAACTTCAAGCTCAAGCTCTTTCAATATTTTCCATTTTATTAACATTTAGAATGCATGTTTAGTGAAAGGATGCATCGATAAATGTTTCTAGTTCGATACATCGATACGTTGAAACACGATCCATCGTTAAACATGGAGAACATGATGAAAGTACGTATTAACTTTTCCTATAAAAATTAATTGAAACATGTAATTAAAATTACGTGAATAGAATATAAAGATACATGTGTACATACAGATAATTACTATGTACTATAATGTGTGGTTGCTATGCTAAGAGATTTTCTGAATAGATAAAATATTATTCAATTATAAGCTTGCTTCTTGATGCTTGATATACTTTTAAATGGAATTTGTAACTATGTATAATATATATTTTATAATAGTATTTGTATATATTTTTCTTTTATTAATTCTTTCACTGGAAAACTGTCATTATTATACATCAATAGTAACATATATAATTTCTATTAAATCGTCATCTACAGATTTAAGCACAACTTCTAGTCATATTTCAATTCTATCGTAAATCATATGGTTTTATTTATACAAGTTTTTTCTCGTTGAACGAGAAGTGTAAATACGTAATGTTGTGGTCGCCGCCTGGCGCCGTGTAGCAGAAGCTCTGGGGGGCGCGAGGTTTGAATAGATTACACGAATGTAATAGGAAAGGGAGACAAAGTGGAGCCCGCGCCAATTCTACGGATTAAAAGAGGTTAATGATTTCACTTCGGGAAATAGATTAGCCAATAATTTATTGGAGACGGATGTTTGGATCATCGTGAGCTCCCCTTTGATCCCTTCTCCTAAGTGTGTAATTCCTGGAACTTGGGCCGTGCGCTATCGATAGCCGGAAACGGGCTGCGTGGAAAAGACGATAACGACCACGTGCCGCATAGGACCGTTCTCGAGGGATGGGGGAGTGTGCCGAGGAACGCGTGTGCGAGAGTTTTGCGCCCGGCCCGAATGAAAGAAAGGACGATCTGGAGGGGCCTACGTGTGGGCTGGGCCTCGACCGGCCGGCAGAGCAACACAGTTGAATCCGGAGATCGAAAGTGAACGGACGTATCATTGTAACTTAAGCGAGATCGTACTTGTATTATTTTGAGTTAGTTAATAGAGTTGAATCGGCAACGAGAGAAGCATCTTGAATTAAGAGAGCGGAAGTGTACGAAAGGGTCACAAGATTCCTGCGAAATCTTGGTTGTCTTGTTTTATATTCTTTTATTGAGTTAATTAAAGTACTATTTACGTGTGTTCAAATCCTTGTATCCATTTATTATTCTCCTTATCTAGCGATCTTCGTTTGAAACTCCCGCGTCCAAGGAGCAGAGTGCCTAAGCACTCCACGGGCAGCGTTCCCCGCCGAATTCCCTACGGAGAGTCGGAAATACGCCGCCGGACGCGCAACAAGTGTAAATACGTAACAAAATTCCTTGGAAACTTACTAGTAATTTAATGCAAAAAAGGTTACTGAAAAATTTGTGTTGGTAATAAGATATTGCTTTTTGCGTTTCAGTATTTTCAGTAAGTCGCATCCCGAGCCGAGTATGCATCGAATGATGTATAATAGTATGTAAAACTTCTTTTATAGTTATAAAAAGTCCTTAACTTAATTAATGGATTAGTAGATAATAAAGAATGCTTTCATGTATGAATATTGCGATTCCTTCTCTGTTACATTATGGTGATAATCAAGGATTAGAATTTAACGTTCCACTAACCATTCTAAACTCATTGAAATGTTGCAAAGTAATGTGCTTGAAATATTCTTCACTGTATAACGTGTTGTGCAACATGGCACCAATCACAATTCATGATTTTGTGATCTAAACTAACAATTTTCAAGGTGGCAAATTGCCATCATTTGTAAACAATTGTCATCCTGATTAGCCCTGATTTGTGTGAAAACGTTGTGACGAAAAATTATCCTTATAAAGATCGGTCATGTTTTATAATTATCAACTGTGAATTCAATTCTTCTCAAAATGGCAGAAAATCTTTCAAAACGGCCTCCCAAAGGAATTTTAAAAACATCCAGCAGCTTTGATAATCCGGATATACCTAGGTAAACATTTTTCATATCTTATACAATATGTTAAATTTATATTCTTCTATTAAAATTTTTATTTCCTTTTAATTGTCATAGAAAATTATTGAAAAAAGAGATAACTATTTTTTTAATTAATGATCAGGTATTAACAGTAGATTCATAAAATTTTTTTTAGGTTAGGTTAATTAGAACGTATGTTATTATTGCGTACTTTAATTTCTCGCAGTTTTACTTTATTAATTCCGTTTCATGATTATAAATTAATATTTGTTTGTTTCATCTCTTTTCAGTTTCAAATTATTATTAAAAATTAAAATTAAAAATGTTTAACTTTCAAGTGAATTAATATTCATATTTAAAGTACAATTTCAGTTAGAACTAGATAGAATGTATTAAAAGTATAATTTCATATAGACTCTGTTTTTGAAGCATCGTAGAACAATTTTAAATATTATGTAGAAAACAATTTGAATTAGAATTTAATTTGATACATATTATTATTGAAGGCAGAATTTTAATATTTTATTATATTTATTATTATAGACCAAGTAAAGAGATGACATGGGATGAAATGAATATAATAGCAACATTACATCCACCAGAAAAAGATTATGGTCATATGAAGATCGATGAACCAAAAACCCCATACAACTATGAAGGCCTCCACACTGAATTTGAATTTGATCAATTAGATTCGACTGCTGTTGCTGCCAAGTAAGTAATTTTTTAAACATTTATCTGCAAATTCTTTGTATCTTTCTATAAAATACATACAAAAAAGAAAGAGTCAATAGCATTTAGCAAATTTGGATTGGACATTTAAATTATATTAAAGTAGATTAGAAAGGATTTTGGTTGCACAAACACAGGACATTGTATTGTAGTCATATATAAAATCATTAATTACTAACTAAAAATTGTAATAATTAGAATTCATGAATACTGTATTTTCTTTTATGATTTGTTTATTATGAATTGGATATTGTACAATTTATTTTTTAACTTTCATAGGTTAGCAGGAAGCAGTAAACCAAAAATTTTTGAAGAATCAAGTGATGATGAAGAAGAAAAAGAGACACCAGAGGAAAGAGGTAAGTAATTAATTTTATAATAAGAATATTTGAACAATTTTTAATGGTCAATCGATTTCTTGTACCTTTAATCTTTTAACTACAAAATTTATACTTTAAGTTTGATTATAAATATTTATTATTAAGGTTATTATTATTATTGTTTGGACAAAATTCTTATATGTATTGTGAAAATATATATAGGGTACTAATCAGTAAGTTAAATTTACTCAAAAAAAGAAGAATATGTGTGAAGATATTGTTTAAAACGACAAGAGAAATATCAATCTACTTATAAAAATTTTAGAAAAACGAAAAGCATTTGAAGCGAAGAGAAAACGCCATTATCGAGAGTGGCAAGTAGTTCAGATGGCACGAAAGCAATTACTTGAACAAGATGAAGAAGATGAAGATGAAAATGACACAAAAGATGAAGCAAATGAAGAGGATATAGAAAAAGATGAAGATAATAGTTCTTTTACTTCTCAAGAACAAATTAACTTCGATGTCAGATTCAAGTGCATGCCGTCCTGTGATAAAACAGAGCAGAAGTGATATGACTAAGGACATTGATAAACAATATTATGGATTACTAAAATTTAGAGTTCTTTTATTTAACATTTTCAGTTCACGGTAAATCTTCAATGTTGTCTGACAGGTAATAGACGAATTACTTTAATAAGAATGTCCATATTAGATTAGTTAAACTATTAAGTCAATAAATTTTTGTAACTGACTGGTTTACCACTTTCCAATAATTGATTTATCAATTAATATGTGTAATTAATTACACAACGAATTTATTGTCAATGTATAAATAATTAATTGCGTAATTAATTACAAACATAAATAAATAATTAATAATTAAACAAGTATTTAATTTAATTCTTCGTTTTCAATTTGTTAATTATTAAACACTTACTAATTGATTAATAAATTGAAAACAGTACATAATTATACAGAAAGTAAAACTTTGACGCATCGTTTCAAAAGTAGAATTATAGATTTATTTATTTATTATGATGAGGTTGCAGTATTTCTGTGATATACTTTAATACTTTGGCATGCAATATAAAAAAAAACTAATTTAATTATTAATTATTTAATTAATATTTAAATAGTGTTTGTCGGTTACTAATGTGTCAATCAGTAGGTTACTTTGGCATAGATTAACTGATATTTAATCAATCATATGGTTACATAATTTTTCAATTCTTTATCACAATTGTAACTTTATTCATGTGTCATTTATGCTACATCATCTTAACTATATATTTCGTAATAGATTATTAGTTTGATAATTTTATATTTGATTAATAAGAAATTAATTGATCAATAGGTGAAATATTATTGTTTCACCAATTAATCAAGATATTTTTGTTTTTTAGCCATTTTTAACACCTGTTTTCTAAAAACTATGTTCCAATTAATTATTTTTTAGTTATCAGTATTGATTACTGAAATAGTTAACCCATTTGGGACGAGCGCCGAATCGGTGCGTCACGAGCCCTTTTTTAACTTAACATAGGCCTTTAACGCCGATGGAGACTATACATTTCTTCAGCAATATTAATTGTTTCTAGTATATTAGATCATGAATATTTATTACATTAAAATTCTTGCATGTTTACTGTGCTTGATGTTTGAAACACAAATGATCTTTTGTGCAGAGCTTAATCAATATCAGCTCAAAAATCAGTGAACGCCGACAATTCATAATTTTACAATTTATTAGAAGTATACTCCGCATATAACTGCAATTCGGTATGAATTTTTAAAGCCACAATAACATGTTAAAATACTCACGTAGAACTCACTGGTTCATGCCATTTCGGTGCTCAACTACACCTTGAGGGGAAATCTTCTCGCGTTCGTCCCGAAAGGGTTTGCAGATGTTTATGAAATTATGAGTATTTTGTTAGCAAATGTTTTATAATATTAATATAATTCGGAAACAAGCGATTCCTGACAAATAATACTTCCTAACATTTTATTGCAACTAATGTTGATTGACTCATTGAGTTGTTACTATTATAAATTGTATAGCAAACGAAAAAAGTGTAAAAATAATAGACCGAATAGCATTAACACAGAAATTTATAATATATTGTTAAATGAAAGCATAACAGTTCTTATTTTAAGTGGAATGAGGATCTCTCATTTTTTAATTATATATTACAATTTATAAAGTACTTCCTAAACAAAATTTTCCATAAAATATGCATTAAATGAGATATCCCCGAATTAGAATCTAATTCCAAATGTCTTCACATTGGCATGATTACCAGTACTAATTATTTTAATAAGTGATTATTAGTATTAACAGTTGAGATTAATTATATCTAATGAAATGTATTATTTCAGCATATAATATTTTGTGTTTTCTTATGTAATTCACCTTGATCTTGCTTAAATCAAAAAGATACCTTTACGAGTAAAATAAGCGAAAATATTTAATTCATAGAATTTTTTGCTATTTTTTTAAATGTTTTTTTATTACGAATTTTGTTTCGTCTCATTATTACAGGTGTGTTTCATTTGTGTGTTTTCTATGTTTACTAATCTTTTGAAAATGAATTTAAAAAAGGCTGGATAAGGTGACCAGTGTGGATTCATTTAAATAAATTTCAAACTGTTTGCTGTTTAATTCCATTTGTTTATAAAATTGTATATCCAATGAATGCATCAGTTAAATTCAAACATGTTTCTCACCGCATAAAGGCCTTGAATCCCTTAAAAAATTTATATTAAAAGACAAAATTCTGTTATTTCTGAAATTAATTAACTTAATTAACATTTTCATTAGATTTGTATGCACATTACGACATCTAATTATTAAGAACATAATACAAGCAATTGAAATTTGACAAATATTGGACTGCTCTTTTCATTCTTTTGTCATGTATAGCTGTTTCAAAATTTAAATTATCTGTAGGATATTTACTAACGAGAGAAGTTATACAATATTCTTTGTATTGTTGCAAAAGGGATCATTGTTTAGACAATCGAACTTAGTTGTCGTTATAAACACTCTACATAGCATGTAATACATATTTTTGTAGATTCAAAAGTTGCTTGTCTGAATTAGTTATAGATAAATATATAGATAGCTTCCGTCTAAAATATAGTATATTGTTCTAGACTGTATACTACATTGTAAATATGTGTAATAACAACGAACTCAATATATTAGGATTTATACATAGAAAGATACAGATCTGCAAATCGAAAGGCCATTTGAACATTTCAGTTATTCAAAACTTTCTTTAAAGTTTAATATCTGCATTTTGATAATTTAGTAAAATGTTAAGGGATACTAATGCATGTTACATTCATGTGCATATTATAATAACAATAATTTGGTTGCATTTTAAACTTGACATTACTAATAAATTTTTAAATATAAATAAATATGTTGCAACGTGAAAACATTTTTGCTTAAAAGATAATTTCATGGAAATATGTCTGCTTATAATTGCTTTTTTGTTCTTGAAAACTATTATAATTATTTACAGATAAGCATTTATTGTGTACGAAAAATAATTAAAGTAATTCATTAATTTGTATTAATAAAATAAGCGATACAATGATACAATGTAAATTAAACTCTGCACATAGTGCAAATTATCACTTGATTATATTACTATAATGATGAATCTTTCTAATCAATTTAGCCATAGTAAAAAGATTATGCGTTTGATTCTCTGTTTTATTGTATTAATGTATACAAGCTCTTACGCTTACATTAGCTAGAATACTCAAAGCTGCAGCTTTAAGCTTAGTATAAGTTAGCATAGAGTGAATTACACTGGATAAGTAGACTAAGAGTGATCATTGATCATCAATTTTGATTGAATTTTGAAATATGAGTAAACAGCATGATGTAATTTACAAAATCGTATAATGATTACAACTTGTGTAAAGTGTTCAATTCAAAATATAATATAATTATAATATAATGCTCATAGGAGTTTATATTGCTTTCAACTGAATATTTTTAAAGAACATTTCAAATGCTTATCTGCTTATATTTTATATAACACCGATTGTATTTTGATAAATCAAAACTGTGATATTAATTTTGTGAAAAAAAGAGAAGTACAACAAACAGAATTTTTGCAAGTATTTAAACACCACATTAACTGATCTTTTTTTTATAGATTAAATCAGTTCCTCGATAATTATTTCTATTTAATTTTCAATTGTTGAATACTACTATCCTGAGTAGATAGTCAATGACACAATCAGCTTAGTCAAAAAATTAAGCTAAATCCCATTTTTAAGGAATGGGAAAGGAACCTGACCTGGGGGCTTTCAATACGTATGAAATTGTGGGAGAAGCAACGGTATAATAGAATTCGTTGCTTCTCCCATTGTTGAGTACAGTGCACGATAGTGAGGACCTTTACGTCATGTTGTCAAGCTTATTTTTTTTGGCTACGTTAGACATCGTCATGTCCCCCGAGCATGGTTACCGTTTAGAATTCCCGGTCTTCCCCATTCTTCCCGCCGACACCGTTCAAAGCCTAGACGACGATACTTTGCCACTCAGTGTGGCTAGATTTGGCATAATTGAGTGCATCAACAGCGAGTAGTGCCGGACTCTTACCGGCTAAAACCCCACGGTGACCATCCTCGGGCGCCTGGTCACCAACCAGAATTAATTAACACCTAGAAATCAAATAAAATAAACTGTTCATAAATTAGCTGTTCAAGATCAAGAAGGAAAGGCGCGCATTCGCCTTCTTTATCGATTTCCCGAAGTTGCACGAAGTTACACGAAGTGTTGACCTGGCGTAACATGCGGCTCGTGCGGTAGAATATGTCTGCTCTCCCCACCACTTTGTTAGATGCGAAGGAAGTTTGTCGTTACTAGTGTCGCCGTCGATGCACTCAATTATGCCAAATTTGGCTGCATTGTTGCCACTTGATATCAGGCAATGTTGAAAGGAAGAGCGGAGAACTTCTGGCGGTTGAAGTAAGAGGAAGTGGTAAATGACCATTAATAATGCCACTTTTCTACCTAGCAACTCTGATCCCGAATCATCTGAAGTAATTTCTCTTATCTCGTTTCGAACATGGAATCTCGGGACTTTTTAATTTCCGTACACCACTAATTTTGGAATTTCTCTTTTTAATACGCTTAAATCAAAAGTGTTCATTTATCTAGGTTATCTATACGTGCAACAGATAAACATTTTTATAAAATTATAAATTGTAAAAAATGGGAGTAATGAAACACAACGGGCTCTTTTCATTGAACAGATAGTGAACGAGCAAACATGGCGGCCAACGTAATCCACAAAATAAGGCATTTTTAAGCGCGCATAACTTTTGGTTCCATATCTTTCTAACATTAAGTTCATAATTTTTAGAATCTAGATCAAAATCTATCCAATTTTGAAGAAATATCTCCATAATTTTTGGTTCCATAAAGTAACCAAATCCAAGTGTTTAACAACAAGTTTTTTGTGAAATCTAATTGACTTTCACGTCTAATAGTTACATTATTTAAGATTTTCTGTATCGGTATGGCAGTTTGTGCACTAAAAAGTATTTTCGATCTTTCCATCTACTAAAGAAAAATTCAACTGTCACTTGTGTTAGATCAAAGAAAATTAGTAATACTTGGTAATAAAAGTGACTAATAGTACCTTGTGCGAAGTGTTTTAAACCGATAATATATAATCCTACAGTGAAGTAACATCTATTGTTGATGTTTGTCGTGTTAATTTACTCAATGGTCGAATGAAATTCAGCTCAATCGAGTCGTGACTTGAAACGGGAAAATTTATTTTGTTCAAACGTTTATTTTTTTTTTCGCCACAACGGGTGCCGAACAATCAGTCATGTCCGTCTCTCAGATGGAAAGTATCCTTTAAATATTTCACAAATGTAACATTAGTTATTTTGAACGTTAATTGCAGATTTTATTAAGATAAAATCAATTTTGTGAAGTAATGTGAATTGTTTATTGTCTTTGCTAAAATTTTCTAATCTGTCAATTCTGATTAAGACACTCAAACGAGTCTTAATAGTTTTGATTTTAAATTAAATTATTATAGATTATACCAATTCTAATTGACATTTGCATCTAAATACTGATTACAGTATTGATTGACAGTTTCATCTTTTTAAATAAGGTTAGGATAGATTTGACGAGGTTAGGATTTAAAGTTTCAATCGAAGAATAAACGTTCATTGGATTCATAAAATTCTCTTTATAGTATTTTTAAATATTTAAATAATATAAAACGTTTTATTTCTGTTTGTTTTCTTTATGAAATATACAAAAATATTGAAAAGTGTATGTAGTTATTATCAGTATACATTCAAGATAGAATAAAATAAATTTAAAAAAAGCGAAGTATTTTCCTAAATTATTGATAAGAAAATTTATTTAACCTGAAATTTGCGGTGAAGGAGTTAGAGAGAAACTCCAAAAAATGCGAAAAAGAAGAGAAAGTTGAAAAAGCCAAAATAAAGAAAGCTATTCAAAAAGGTAATATGGAAGGTGCTCGTATTCATGCAGAAAATGCAATTCGTCAAAAGAACCAAGCATTGAATTATTTGCGTATGAGTGCAAGAGTTGATGCAGTAGCTAGTAGAGTACAAACTGCTTTGACTACTCGTAAAGTCACTCAGTCAATGGCTGGTGTAGTTAAAGCAATGGATGCTGCAATGAAATCAATGAATTTAGAAAAAATTTCAGGTAACTGAACAAATATCAATTTGATATATTAATTAATATCATAGTTTTGAAATAATGTAGATATTTATAAAATATATTTTTTTTTACATATTATTATATTGAAACTAAAAAGAACTTTTTATCATGCATACTGGTAAAATATACCATAAAGTGTAATTGCATGATCACATTAAAGTTAATATTTTGCGTAATTAATTGTAGGTCTGATGGATAAATTTGAAAGCCAATTTGAAGATCTAGATGTCCAAAGTTCATATATGGAGAATGCAATGTCTCAAACAACAACTACCAATGTTCCACAAAATGATGTTGATTCATTATTACAGCAAGTCGCAGATGAAGCTGGGTGAGTATCTATCCTAAAAATGATCGTATAATATAAAATAATTAATTACTTAATGTAACGATGAAATAAAGAAATATTAATGTCGAATTTTATTTCATATTATTTTTACAGATTGGAATTAAATATGGAATTACCATCTGGACAGTTAGGTAGTATAGGAACGTCTACTGTTAGCCAGGAACAGGATGAACTTACACAACGATTAGCAAGGCTTCGCGAATAATAATGCAAACATAAAAGTTACTTATAGCACAGATACATAAGGCAAGTACATTTAATGCTTGTCTACTATAAACAGTACTAACCTATTCAAAAAAATTGCGGTAAGAAATTGTTTCAAATGTATCTTGTTTTCTTTAAATGCAGATATATATATTTGTTTCATTGAATTGATCAATCTCAACCAAAAATAACTGAGGAGTGATAATCAAATTTTATGTTAATTTTTTAAAGTTATAATTTAAGTAATTTGAAAGCAAAACATATTGGGAAGAAAACTTAAACGATAAAGTTCTACTGAATAACTGTAAAAATTTCAAAAACATAGATCTCTATTAAAAGCTGCACAGTACAATAATTATATTGATATCTGCTGCTATACGCGCATTAATGTTTAACGAAATATCATTAATCGATCAATTTCAAAATTAGCTACGACGTAAATATATTTTTTTAATCTAAAAAGGCCATTGTTCCACCTCGTGTATTTATTTTGAACAATTTCAGAATCAATCTGATATTACAATTATGCTGTGTAATATAAAGTTGGATAGGTAACATATATCTGTAATTAATTACTATACACAAAATATAATTTAATATAAAGACAATTCGTCAATAATGTGCTTTATTAGTACAATATTATTTATACAACAATGTAATTCACGCAGCTTGTATTTTAAAAGTAATTATAGCAAAGAAATATTTGTATTATATGTATATTACTAATTGAATACGCAATATACAAAATTTATTGTATATTTCTTTTATAAAAATAAATTCATACTGAGTATATTAAAGCTTAAATTTAGACAGTATATCTTAATTATCGATATACGCATGCATGCACATGTATGCACATGCATACGCACACTTAACTATTACGAATTCGTTATGTTGTATGTGCATTACTATCATCGCTACTTTCTGAAGGGTGTCTTCTTATAAAAATTGGGCCAAAAGATTCAGTCTGGGTTAAAATTATAACTTTCTCTGCATAGTATTCTAAAAGTTCATAATAAAAGAAAATAGAATTTAAAAATTATTATTTATATAAACTTTACAAAAATATTTGAAACAACTGCAGTAAAATGCCGTTTGACTTTAATATCGTAATTAAATATGTTAAATTGAATGATCGATTGCACTTACCTAAGCAGTAGTAAAATGTGCACGCGGCATCAGTTTTATTGTAATTACTAGGTGGAATTACATCATGAAATTTGACTACGCTTGTATCATGCCAAAGGATTTCCAACAATGCTAAGAACTCTCTTTTTGTCACACTATTATTAAAACTACAATAAAAAGCGAAAAGATAATACATAAATGTCATATGCTAAAGTACTTATTTCATCGTATATATAAAATTTACAAGTAACAAAGCATACTGACCTAAGAGTATCGGACAACATTGATTTATCTTTTGTTTTTCTCCTACTTAATTGTGGAGTAGTCTCTCTGTAAACATTAATGTTTAGTGAAATTTGCATACTGTCATATAAAATTAGATTTAATGTTAAATACTAACTTTAATATGATAAGTATGTAAAGAAAAAGACAAAACAAATTTATATAATGAATACCATGTATAACATAAAATTATAAATTAAATGTAGTAAATTCATTAATTAAGTATTTAAGTATACCTAAATTTCTCTTCAATATCGGTAACTTCTAGAAGCGGAACCGAAGGTTCTTCAATTTCTTTTCTCTGTTGTTCTTCAGGCACTGTAGGATAACACTCAATAATCGAATGTAATTCTTTTAACGTCTTAGAATGATCAGATGTCTCAGTTGTAGTTATTCCAATTTTACTAAATAATTCTTCTACTTGAACGTGTGATTTATTCGATGTGTCCGGGCGTATAGTTTCTCCAGCTATGAAATTACAATTGTACAGATATATGTTTAATTTATAACGTATCTACATAAAGATAACATAAAGACACACATTGAAGTTACACTATATAATCTGTATAAAATTGCTAGAACACTGAGCCTAATCTCTTAATCAATGTAATAGAATTGAAACGATATTATGTTACTTACATTTTGGATCAATATCAAAATCCAGAAATTCATTCAAGACAGCAGAAGGTTTATTAAGATGTCGTTTGAAAGATTTAGTCAAAGATTCTGCCCATGGTCTGTTCAACAGTTTTAATGCAGGCTGAGTCAAATATTCATTTGCTGATGGTAAAGTATTAGCAGCATGCAAATGATGTTGCTGAAAAATAATGAAATAAAATGCATTACATAACTTTTCTGTGTAAGTTATTTACTTATTTATAGTTTGATTATTTCTAAAAACGTGCTAGGTTTTTCATTCTTAAATAACTTACCGTAGTATGGGCAGCAACATTTGCAATCAAGCTTCGCATTACAGTATTGGGTAGACTAGTTTCTGTGTCAAAAAGTTTTCTTCTTCTTTTTGGCCGTATTGCGCGTATTAATTCGGAATTTTCAATAGCAGGAAGTTGAATTTCAAATTCTGATGCATGTTCAACTGCAGCCATTTGTGCAATTGCCTCTCTAATCTGCAATACATATTCTTCTGGAAATGGTAGAGGAAGTACTTCTGATGGTGCAGGAGCAGGTACTTCTGGAGGTACTAATGTAGATATTTCTGAAGGTTTCAGGGCAAGTACTTCTGAAGGTTCCAAAATAGGTACTTCCGCAGAACTTAACTGTAAAATAAGACATTAAAAATAGTTCCAAAATTTAATTACAAGAGTATTAAACCAAAAATGTTACTAATACTATAAATATTCAAAGTAGAAGACAGGGTTAGAACAATTTTAGACTAAAGAAAATTATTAATGTTGAAAACAAACATGACCCCAATTGAATTAAATCTTTTCTCCTTAAGATACCTTTCGTTTTTTCGTTGGAGTTTCACTACGAGATTTTGTACTTCTTTTTTTGGGAGTTGCAGGGGCAGGTTGTTTAAATTGGGTTTCTGAAAAATACAATTGATAAAAACGACTGACATTTATTAATAGTATATTATTAGATTAGTAATTTAAAGACCTTCATTGATTTCCAACTCTCCCTGATCTTTCCTAGCAGAAAGCATTCGTATTTCTTCTTCGGCGTTAGGTAAATCAAATTCAAATGTATTACAATTGCCTAAAGGTAATAATATTGACTCGTTCCAATCAAATCTTCGTATTTCGTTCCTAGTGAATAGATACAAATAACTCTATAATTGCCAACAAAGTAAAAATAGACAAGCAAATGCAAAATATTTCAAAGATTAATAGAAAAAAAAAGGACAAATGTGGAAAGGAAAAAGGATATACTTTCGTTTACCCAAAATACAATAATGTTTGAAGATAGTTTCATTTCTCTTTGCATTCTTATAAATTAATTTTAAAACTATTAAACTTCAAACTTGTCAACTTATGAATGTAAAAGGAATTGGAGCTGTGGGACCAATGGAACTATGGAAAACTAACAGGAACTTCTGTTGTTCTTCTGCTTCAGGTAATAAGAATTTGTCCATCTCAAAATCAGTCAACATTCCGAAACTCTTTTCATCTTGCATCTACATTTAAATAATATTTAAATTAGTCTAAAAAGTAAAATGGATAGAGATCATGATTGCTGAAAGTCTCAGAAACACGGTGTTAGTGGTGAAGAAGTATGCACTTAGGAACATATTTGGTTCAAGCAATTGTATGTTTAAAAAAATCATTAACAAATTTATAACTTATTTATGTTTTAATAATATTTTAACATAGTTTGATCAAGCTTTCTTACCAAATGTTCCATAAGGGAAGTATAAGGTTCTTCTGTGATGAGATGTAATTTTAATGGCGATGCTAGGTCATGTAACATCCTATGTACAGGAAGATCATCTGGTTCCTTAAAAGCCACTGGTAGATTAAATTGGTTTCCATGTCTGTAAAAATAATATGTGTAATTTTGTTTTGTTTTAATTGATTAACAGTTTTTATTAAATAATGTGCATTAGAAATTTGCCATGAAATTGAATTTTTCGAATTACAAAAAAATACAAAAATTGTGAATGTTTGTAAAAACGTATGATATCATAACTTATGATTTTTTAGTTCATTGTTACCTGTTCATTTGAATCAATTTTATGTTTAATGAGAATACCTCATCTGTAATGAAAATAAAAAAAATTAAATTATCTTTACATTTGTTAATTTTTGTTTATTATTTTAAATTCAAATGTGTAGCGAAATTACCTTGAAGTAGTTTGGTCTGATAAAAGCGTATTTTCGTCGCGCCGTACATTAATTGCGAAGAAAGGTATAGACTAAATCTGCAATAGTTATCGCTATCCCGTATTTGGACCGTCGACAAAATCTCACCGCTAGAAATTTCGAAACAATGGAAATAATTATTACGAAAAATTGACCGTAGAAAATGCAATGATACTAATAAAAAAAAAGTTAAATAAACAATATCTTTATATAGATCATATGCTAAAGGAGCAAGTTGTGTTTTGAAGAGAATAATCGATCAGAAAATTGATCTATTCAAAAGAATCCGTAACTTTTTCGTATCTAATCCCATATATCGTGTAATATTACAAAATTAACTCGGGGTACGAAGTATTAGCTGCTAAAGGTGATTGAACAGCTACCCCCATCATACCGTTTAAATAAAACCTACTGGCGAATGCTTTTTGTTTCTTAATAGAAGATCAACAAGTTGCTAATGGGAATTTTAGTTTTATAACAATGCATAACAAACAAAACGATACCAAACATTAAAAAACAAATGCGTAATATATGCACATAAGAGATGACTTTACCAAAGAATAGCCACGTCAATCTTCGTAATCGATGCCGACCTACAAGTCTTTTTAAATATTGCCTCACTGACAGTTGCGGCTAACCAGCATCGCGCGAGTTTGCCCCTTCGTCGAAGTGAAAGCAGATCAGCCGAATAAAACATTGAAAACCCGTGGAGTTAAATGAAATTACAAAGTATAAAATGTGAGTCGTCGCACCGCCGTCTTTTCTTTCGGTTATATTATATGCGAACAAGACTATCGCCAAGTAATCGATCGATCGATTTTTTCTTTTGAAGGAGCCCTCTAAAACGACTGTCTTTTATACATAATTTAACTTCAACAATTAATACAACTTTGTTTGAAACAACGTATAAAATATAATTGCATTTACAGAGCATTTACTATACGAATGTTCAACAATATTATACTTAAAATTTGATTTATAACAATATTAATAGTATTATTAGATACGTCGGAAAGAACTTCGTATTTGACTTATATTTCTCCTTATGCGCAGATGCAACGCGCATTGAGGAAACTACAGACTATACCTGGCTATGTTCAGGTTCAACTCTTTTGTATTGTAGCATTGTAGCACGTTCAGTGTGTGTAGAAATATCTGTGACGTATGCGATACGCAAACAATGCGCCTTCATATCTAAAGTTGCTTCCTAGTATTTTATTTATATAGTGAACCTTTCGTTTATATTCTCTGTTGTATAATCATTTAAATCTCAATGCAAATTTGATAGATGGAAGATCACATATGAAAAATACAACAATACGTGTACACGATAAAATTATATATTGAATTAGATTTGGTCTGTCTGAGCTGTCATTTCTGTCATTCTCCGACTAACCTCTACCTACCTCCTACGTAAGAGTATGAGAGGTCATATTAATTTCTCACACCTCTGATAAGAACAATTAAACGAATATGTTCTCGAGCGGGCCAAATTATACAAAATTGAAGACGCATCTGCGTCTAGCAATAAATCGGCTCAAATTGCTTGAAAAAAAGAAAACCGAGCTTGCTCAAAAAGCACGGAAAGAAATTGCCGATTATATTGCCGCAGGCAAAGTTGAAAGGGCAAAAATACGCGTCGAACACATTATTAGGGAAGATTACATGGTCGAAGCTATGGAATTACTTGAAATGTATTGTGATCTTCTTTTAGCACGTTTTGGACTTATTCAACAAATGAAGTACGAGCAATATTTTATTGATGATTATAAATGTCGAATTTGTTTTATATTTCAATTACGTCGCTCAAATTTTTAACATTATTTTCTTTTTTAGTAATATACAAATATTAAATGCATTTAGTATATCTTATTATGCTAATTATATTTTCATAATTACAGGAACTTAGACGACGGATTGGCAGAAGCTATTTCTACAATAATTTGGGCTGCTCCTAGAATTCAAACCGATGTTCAAGAGATTAAAGTGATCGCTGACATTTTAATGTCCAAGTATGGCAGGCAATATACAGAAGCTTGTAGAGAAGAGGCGGTGCAGACTATCTCTGAAAAGTTGAAACACAAGATGAGTGTGCAATCACCGTCTAAACTTCTTGTTGAAAAGTATCTTGTGGAAATTGCAAAGAATTATAATGTTGAATATGAGCCAGATCCTCAAGTAAGCATGATAAATTAAAATCAATGATAATTATAATAATACATAATGTATTGCAATAAAACCATAATAAATGCATAAACTTTAACACCATAGGTAATGGATGAAGGACAAGATGCTATGTTAATAGACATTGGTGCTAATGGAGAAACTAGAAACAATTTGGATATAGCTTCTGGTGGTGGTATACCACAACCAGTTGGATTCATTGGATTTCCACAACCTCCACTATTACCCAATCCATCAGCTGATTTAGTAGTATGGGATATTTCTATGCTTGAGTATTTTTTATTTACTGTAATATAAGAAAATTTTATAGACATATTAACAAGAAGCATCCGCAAAGTATCCCTCTCCAATTTCTGACAAAACCTTCTAATGCTATCTTTGAAACTATTAAATATACAAAGAAACCTTTTAAACAAATTTTGTATTGGTTTTGATAAAAAATAACGTGATGAAAAAAAAATTAGTAATTTTTCATATTAATTTATATTTTTAGAATTCAGAAAAAGGACCTATAGGATTTGTACCTCCATCAGGGCCCTCAGATAGTAAGAGTCAAAGTGTTCTTTACAATCCTAATGTTTCTTACAACATTCCATTAGACAATTCCAATGGTAACAAGCCTGTGAGTATTCCTAATGTTACTTTTCAAAAACAATTGAAATATACAACACTTAACATGGTTTTATTTTCCGTACAATATATTTTAACGATGGAATTTTATATTTAGGAAAATGATTTACCTCCGCCATATTGTTCATTCCCGCCTGATTTAAATAAGCAGGTAACACAATAATAAGAATATTGGATTACCGTAATATCTCGTCTGTATTCGGTAGTTTTAGTAAATTTTGAAATTTTTTTTATTACAGTCTGATCAGAAACCAAAACCACAACCAAGATCAAAAATGCCAATGAATGACTTTCAGCTCCCAGATTTGCCAGCTGTACCATCAGAAGATGATCTACCTCCTAATGATCCGTCTTCTAACGAAGATATTGATTTTGACGATTTAATGAAACGTTTTCAAGATTTAAAGAAAAGAAAATAGTCTTTTATATTTATACAGATATATCATATTCATATGTATGTTATAATATAATATATGTAGGTATAATTGTAAAAATTGAAAATAATATAGTTTATTCGTTACATACTATTTTGAAATGTAAGTGACCTAATAATATTACTATCAACAATTTATATAAAATATTTCAGAATTAGTAGCTTTAAAACGTTTTGGCAAAATGTTGTGTACACTAACACAAGAATGTAAACAAATTTACAAACAGATTTAACCAAAAACGATGTATGCTGTGGTCTTTTTAAATACTTAAAATTTAGCAACATTCAAATATTATTCAATATTTATTAAATATGGATTAGAAAAAATTATAGAAAAAAATTTATAAAAATGGAAAGAAGAACGTAAAAGAATATTATTCTGCTATTGACTAATTTCGACCTTGATTTTCTTTTAGTATTCTGAATGCACTGTAAAACATTAAATTCCGCTATATGATCTCGAAAGTATTGATGCATTGTTAATAGAATAATTATTACCATTAAATTATCATGAAAATTTTTCTGTTGTAGCAATAATTCCTAACACTTATTAAATCTTGAAAAAATGATACTAATCATGTAACATTTAAAGTGTATAAATTATAATATTTTTGCAATTTTTATGATCACAATGTGTAAAGTTTAAGACATCACTTGTAAATGTTGTAAAAATCTAAATTCTAATGTCAACTGAACTGTGTGAAATTGTACTGAAAATTTTTATTACACATGTAATGTTTTCGTAGACACTATTTTTAATGCAATTTATAACGTTGTTATAGAATTTCAATTATTTCACATCACAATTTAATAGTTCATACAATACAGTGAATGATAACTGCAATATGGAAATTTTGCAACATTTATTGGATCAAATATATTAAATGTTCAGTATTTTTATTTACTTTATACACATTGTTTCTACGCTATTTTTTGTTTTATAATATATTTTAAACAATTCTGATGGATTAAGTGTCTTCAATTTTCCCAGTCTTCGCACCTCTGGAAATCGAATAATTTTTAATTTTGATTTAAATACTTGATTTTAATCAAAATAGAGTTATTACTAACAAATGCGAATTTAAATAAATACTTACTTCATGTCCTTTTTCAGCTAAACATTTCAAAAGGTTCTGAGAAAATTCACACTTTTCCCTCTTATTTGATTCAAGATAACGAAAGCATTCTATGATCGATTCTTCAACGAAATCTTTCAATTCCGGATCTTGAATATTTTGACTCATCAATGGAATCACCGAATCTCGTTCTGGGAATCCTTTTTGGTCTACCTAGTATAATTTTTCACGCGTTTAAAGAGAAACTATTTTAACAAAAGATATGTAAGTAAAATTATTATTTCAAGTTTAATTAATGAAAAATTTTAGTAAATAATTATCGACTATGTACATACATATCGTCATTATTATTTTTGTTCAGTTTTCTTTTTACATAAAAGAATCATCAAACGAAATGAATAAATTGAATTATACTTACGACGTTCAATTCGTTGAAGAAACATTGCACGATACACTGCAAAATGTTAAGTCATTAAAATTTAATAAAATTTATATTAAATTATAAAACCGTCTGTTTATAATATAGTTGTAATTTAACTCTTACAGATTGTTCTTGGCCAGTATTGTTAGTGTAGCGTGTATCTTCGTTATAAAATTCATCTTTTTTATTATTCCGATTTGAAGAATTCCACGAGTTTCGATCATTGGTGTTACGAATATTTTTTGAATTTGGAAAATCCCTGACGTTTCTATTTGTTGAATGATCGAAAGAATAGGATTTTATGTTACTGTTCCCTTCGGAAGTTCTATATCCATAAAAATATTAATTAAAAGACTATAAAATAAAATTAACATTTACTATTGTTATTATTTTTATTAATCTTCTGTCAATTTTAAATTTTGTAATTTGTAGATGTATGTAATAAGATATCAAGAAATTCGATTTAAGATAGATGTAGATAGCAATATGACTTATCAATATTATCGTTATGACTAATTTATAATTTAAGTTACACCTGTATCTTTGAGTATTCATGGATTGATTGTAAGGAGACTTATCCATTTTTGTGGAAAAAAAATTATTATCATCAACATCCTCTTCAGAACTAGAATCACTTTCCGAAGACATAGAATCTTCACTGTCTGTATTTGAATCAGAATAACGCTTTTTACAGGTCTTCAGTACCTTTTGAAATTGCATATTTACTTCCTGATTCCCCGAACGGCATCTTAATGACTAAAAAAATAATAATTTTTTGTGTAATTTTGAATATTACTAATTCTCCGTAAATCGAAAGATAGTAAATATTGCATTTTATTAAGTACTCGTTAAAACAACTTACTATTCCCTCGTTAAGGAAAAATAGAATAATGCAGCATAATGCAAGCGGGAAAAAGTTTCTCATGATACTTCACCAACGTTTCGTCAATTTAAGGTATGGTTAATAAAAGTTTGTTCCCATTCGGTCGGGTATATAAACGGAATTAACAGGAAAACGTTTTGACATTAATTGCATGTCGTTTTACTTTTGAAAAGAATACGAGTTCAGTGGACGTTCCAGTGACACGTTGTATCCGGAATTATTCATTTCCTGTTGCATGCAAGTTGTGTCATCCGAACAAAAACCAATGTAAAATCTTTCATTGTCTTTTCAGAACATTTTTCTAACCAGGAAAAAGCTTGTTTTGTGGTTCTGGATGAGAGACTCGGTATTGCAAAATGTTCGTTCTTATAGTCAAGAGCAAAACATGCGGATGGCGATCTTTGGGGTGCGATAACAGTGGCGAGTATCGATCAATTATAATTCTCATCGATCGATTAAACAATTAATTTCAACTGTCAATTACAATTGACGATTTAATTCAATTATAAAATTGCATAAATTATTGGAAACTTCTCAAAAAGTATTTTTACTTTAAGTTTGATGGAATTTTTTTAGTCATCCCATACGTTCGATAGTTAATATCGATTCTAATCCTAGAAAGATCGATACAAAGGGAAGGGGAAGTCGAAGAGGGAGAAATGTGGAGGAAAGTTGTTCACAAGTTACAATGGAACAGAAATGAAGCGGTAATTCGTTTAAGAATTTTGCACGAGAATTGTCAGTCTTTTTCCTCTTCTTTCTACTTCCGCACCAAAGGCACAAAATGCGTATTACATTTCTTGTAAGTAAAGATATTCTTTTCTAAAAGCTTTTCACATAACTCGTCCGTTAAATAAACTTTAACGATTTAAATCGAATTTGAATCGACGATGTAAACGAATCAAATAATTGCCTTTCTGAACACATTAGTATTCTTTATAAATATTCTTAATCTTTTATTTCTTAAAAATGGTACCTGTTAAACGATATATTTCTATATAATACAGATTATAAGGGAAATGATTTTGCTAAACAATAATTTAACGACACTGTGAATTATTTTGGAATATCCCGAAATATAAATTTTTCGCTACTTCGACACTTTTGTATTCGTATCGAAATAGTTCCGAGTAGATCCAAAATTTTTATTGCATTGTTATTATTAGTTTTATTGTTACAGCAATATGAAAATATATTTGTCACTTCGATACTTATAAACTTAATTTCATGCAGTAGTAGCATGTAAATGGATCGTAAGTCGAGATAATAGTAAATTGCGAGATTCGATGAACCGTAAAAACGCGTGAAAGCGAGACAAATCAGGAATGAATTGCATAGTTCGGAGAATCGATCTATTTCTCAGATCTTGAATACCAAATTAATCAGTGTAAAAATTTACGTTTTCTGACAATTATTTTCTCGTTTCTGTCGCATAGATTTTAACAAATGCAGTCCTCGTATTGGCAGCCAATCATCGACTTCGCGTAGACAATCAGGAATTATCATCACACCGTAAAAAAGATTTGAAGTTTAAAACGGAAAAGAACACTAATATCACATTACATGGTTCGAAAGAAAATAAAATTACAAACGATGAACGTTCAAAAGAAAGAAAAGAAGAATATGAGAACCCTTGGAACTTATCAAAAGAGTCAGATAGAATACAATTTCAAATGGAAGGTCACGAAGGGCCGCAAACGTACATCTTTGGATTCGATACCGGGCATGGGTGAGTTGTCTAAAATAAAAATGCATTTTAAATAAATAAATTAATATAACTTTACTCGTAAAAATTTGACATAAAATGATTTATTTATTACAAACGCTTAGCTTAGAATTTGTATATGTATGCACATGTGTCATCATAAACAAAATATTATATATTTTTTATAAGTACTTAACTAATAATACGTAGTACATTTTCTTAGAAAGAGCAGACAGTACAGATTGGAAGAAAGGCTCCAAGATGGCACAGTAAAAGGACAGTATGGATATTACGACGCGAGAGGGAAATTAAGAACGGTTCGATATGTTGCTAGACCTTTTGAAGGCTATACGGAAAAACATCATGAAATAACACACCGAAATTAGACAACAGAATGGTAGGTTCTCGTTTCCTTAAAAGATATTAGAATGAAGTGCAAAATATATTTGTAGAAATTAAAATTCACGCGATAAGATTCGAGTTGTATTGCATTAAACTTTTCGAAAGTTAGAAAATAATTGCTATGGAATTTCACGTCTTTAACAAACTTCGGCAGTTATATACTACACACTTTAAAAAATACAGTTATTTGGATTAAATCATTTATTTAACAGTAACAACAGCTATACAAGAAAAATAAAAACAAAAATGAAAGTTAAGTTCAAATGTTAATTTGAATACAGAGATAGTAAGAAGACTCTTCAGAAGACATACCCAAACATATATTTGTATATGTGCGTATATGTATTTCCTTATATACATAACATCCACACTCATAACATACACCCACTTACAAAAGTATTTGAATAAAAACGTTAAGGTAAAATATATACCTTAACAAAATTATTTGCAACTATATTATTTAATTAATATCAGCATAATATTAGGCGATTTTTCTTTTTAATAAAGTGTGCAGTCTTATAATAAATAGAGTTAAGATCCAGAAACTTCAATTTTTAATTATAACTTTCAAATTTGTTTCTTTTCTCTTAAACAAAATTTTACATTCTATAAAATTTTCAAAAATTAAATTCCAAAAATATTAAACAGTTAATATAAAGGCACGCAAATAACTAACCCAATATTATTATAACTATTGAAGCAAACAATTCAAATATACAGTTGCATATATTTAACAAGATGAAAAAAGGTACCATTAACAGTGTACAAATCAAATACTTTCGCAAGCCATTATAAACATGTCACGTAAAGTGATTTTGTACAGAGACCATCACGTGGAACACATTACGCGGAGAAGATAATCCGATAATACTCATTTAGCAATAGTCTCTAAAAAAGTATCAATTTTTTCATGATGTATTCCATTTATTATTTTCTCCTCTTCTGTTTCACTTTGATTTACTATCATCAGCTCCGTAAGAAGAACTTTTACTTATTTCAGACATTCCTATCGTTTTGTGCATGAGTAAATAGACTGAAATTAAGAAAACAAAAAACAATTGTTGTTAGAACAATAGAAATGAATGATAAATATAAAATTTCGTTTATATTACCAAAATACTTACACAGGAGAAGTATACCCACACCAATAGAAAGATATATGGTTGATCCAGATAAGAAAAGAATAATTAAATAATAAAGCATTGGTACTAAAACTACGACTCCCCAAAATATCGTATTTAAAAGGCTATAATGTCTCCTGGGAAGTTGCAAACAATCTGTTTTGGGTACACCACTGGTTGCAAAGAAATCACCTGTCTGAATAAAACTCTCTGCCAAACGATCCTGAGAAAAGAAAAGAATTTAATAACTAATGCGATGGCTGTTGATATTTCTGCAACTACTTTTACGAAATCTTACCTTTTTTTGATAAACTTTATACAACCATTCGGTTGCAGCTTCATCATCTTCTGGCACATCCTCTAATGGAATTCTTTGTATGTGCATGTGACACACAACTCGTTTTCCCAATAACAAATTGGTCATTGTTGGTTTCACTGGGTCGCTCTGCTTAAACTGTACTTGTACATCGTAAATTGCTGGAATTTTACCTCGCATGTGCGGTATACTTGCCGTAAAACCTTTTGTTCGTGGAGTTAAATGGTATTTTAATATTGGAAGACCCTTTTCTTGGGCAAACTTTTGACTAGCTTCTAGTTTTCGTGTCGTAAAACGTGTCCCCTCAGCATTTAAAAGTAACTGTAGTTCATTTAAAATAAAATAGTGATTTCAATATAACGTCTTAAAAATGAGATGTAAAAACAAATATTAGTATTAATTACCCATATACTGTCTGGATAGTTTGCAAGTTCCGTAATTTGGCTACTAATTATTTCTTTATCTTTTGCCCAGTTTCTTTCCAAGAATATACTTTCAGCAAATTTCCATGCCCAACCCAATGTTGGAATATATTGTATCGCCTTCTTTGCATATGCTTTGCAATTCTGAAATACACAAATGTTGTGTACTAATATGACTATAATTTTGATCTGAAATAGTGTGTGTATGTGTAACTTACACCAAGTACTTTAATTCGTTCGCATAAAACCCACCCAACGAGCCAGTCTATTTCATAGGTGTGGTTCATTAATACAAGCCCATGTTCATGCCCAAAGTATTTATCAAAGTCATTTTTATCTGTGTACAATATTAACTCTAATCCGGACCACCATTCTGTCAAACAAACCAACTCTAGAAACATAAATTTAAATTTAATTACAACTCTTTTAATATTATATTAATACTGCAAATAAATAAATAAAATAAAACAAAATTAATAGAATTAATTCTATAAACTGTATTTAAATTATAGATAAAATATGAAATATGATATACAGAATGAAACATTGACTTACGGGTATAAAAAGAATAGCAGAGATAATAGTTAATTTTCCGATAAAAATATTTGGAAAAAGGCCTAAGGCAAATGTACAAAAGACACTGGAAGTAATTGATTATCAATCCTGATGTGAAAAATGATATAGCAAACATCAGGTGAATTATTGTGGATTGCTTCAATATTGACATCAACCCCATCTTTTGAACTTTATTGTATGTTCAATGAAGAAAAAACATATGTATGTATCACTCGTAAATCTTAAATTCTTTGTTCCTGAAACAAACAATTTAATGTTTATGTTAAAAAATTTTAAAGGTATTTAAAAGGTATTTAAGATAAGGTAATACTATAAAAAATAATAAATATCAATAACAAATATTTATGACAGCTTAATTAGTTTCATAAGAATTATTAACAAAAAGGTCAAAGCTACACAAATTTGAATCCAAATAATCTTATAATTTATTTAAAAATTAGTAACATTTAATAAATTTCATCAATGATAAAATATATGTGAAAATTATATTTATATATTAATAAAATTAGATTATTAATATATCATATTAGTATTATGAATCATAATTAGATTACAAGAATCATATCAGTTATGAAATGTAATTCGGTAATTGCTTAATTACTCAATGAATTTAGTTGTCCATCAAATTAATTCGTCCGGTTAAACTATACATTTATTAGTTTTTCTGTATTATTTACTAATACTCTTTAAAACAGACTGTTCATCCTAACCTATTTCAACAAGAAGGAAACTCTTTCAAAACTTTCGATTTTTGAATAAAAAGTATCATAAAAATAATTTTTTAATTGTCCTTAATAATAAATTTATACAATATAGACAATTATAAAAGATTTTATTCAAATAAATCGGGCGATACTTATTTAGATAAATTTCTAAACATAAAAAGTGAGTCACTGTAAAATATGAAAGATCTAAAAAGTCTGAATGAAATTACGCATAGCGGACAGAAATTAATTATGATTCTGCGACGCGCTTTTTAAAAAATAGAACTTACAGTAAATAATAAATTTTCCATGAAAATCAAACTCACCCGTCGCAAATCATTTCTGGAATATCGGTACAACCAACCCTTCCACCTGCCACTTGGAATGTGCTGAAAAATGGTGATATACGCGAAAAATGTTAAGAAAATAGTTCAGACTTATAACGGGCGTGGATAGAGAGAAATCACTGTAGAAATTGATTGGTCAAATGAAGATAGATCTTTGTCATTGGCGGATAATAATCGTTCGATAAACAACGATCAAAGTCAAATCACGCTTAATAGAATGGATTGCATCAAAATGTAATCCCGAATGATTATCAAATATTTCGCTGGCTTTTAAACAAAATCGAAAGTATTGATATAAAAACTGGTATTAAACGAAGAAATATTACTAGATTAATCGTCAGGCAGTTAAACATACAGGATTTCGAGTTAAAAAAGCGCAAATCTCAATTTCGACTATGGCCTAAGGTCAAAGTCTTATTAACTCTACTGATACCAACGAGGTTAAACTTTGCTTTGTTACTGCATACTGACATTGACATAATTTATACAGTATTTATTTCTGATACGCGGACCAAGATAGTACGTATTAAGTAATTAATTCAATTGCGTTTATACCAGACGTATCAAATATATAGAAAATACAAATAAGATACCATACAGCGCAATGCTATAATATTGCAGCAATTACCTGTGCAATATATACATTCTGTTAACATATTTTGGAAATGTTCCAATAATATTATAAAGCAACTATGATTTTGGGGTACATATACAGGGTGTATCTCGTAACGCGGCTTCATTTGAATTATTTTATTATATTGTTATAACAATCTCCACTTTATCCAAGTGCAATTTCTGCTCGATACATAATTTTCCGTTCTTATAGAGCTCAAAGTTGAAATCTACCCTTGCCTCTTTGTTGATGGTGACCCATTTTTCAATATTATCTTGAAATCCCCTCCTTTACGATTGATTTCACTTATTATCTAATCACTGCCACGAGGCAAGAGTTTTCTTTTTGATCTTCTTGTGTCTCTTGTTCCATTGTTGCTATTTTCGTATTGTGCATACACATGTTTTGGAGCAAATTACTAGTGTTGCGTCGTAACTTTTTTTATTTAATGTATTCTGAAACAAAGTTTTCATCATCGATGTATATTTAGGTTTTTTTATTTAATGTATACAGGATCGCGAATGTAAATTGTTGCTGAAGTGTATTAAATTATTCATAAACGAACGCTGTCTGGTAGCGACGCTTATAAATCACATTTATTTGCCTTTCAAATAAAAAATAATGTGTGAAGGTCGAGACATATGTATATCTGATACGGATCCCAGTCAATGTCGGGTCATAATTAATGCAACAGAAATGAATGGTCGCACGCATCTTCGACGCGACACAATGCATTCATTTCTATTGCACTAATCTTTCAGCGGTGACATACATACTGATTTTACGACGAAATTAGTTAAAATATCTGTAACATCTGTAAAAGATGAAACTACCCTTCGAAATTTAGTTAGAAACATACTTAGTTTAATATCTTGAAAACGATTAATAATTGATAAAGCAATTCTGCTTTCGGATTTAATTTGTGTTGAACGATTAATGTATTAACAAATTCCGCCGAAAGTATGGAATAATAGTGTATAAATTGTATTATGCTGTAGATATCTGTAAAAGCATGTACATACAGATTCATGTATAAAATTACATTTGATATTTGCAACATTGAGAAATGTATATGTAGGTGTATTCTGGATGCTGGTAGGGGACGATGATGCCATATTGTTGAACACGATTAGTACCAAAGATGGCTGGCTGTCTAGTGACTTTGTATATTTTCTAGTTAAAGTTAGTATTATATGACCCCCGAAATCAACGATATGTATATGTCATCTTCATATTTTTACCCTTCGTGGGTAAATATCCACAAAACAGCTGTTCGATAGAGATGTTTATCTCGATGCCTTGGGATGCATTAGAAGTTCGGTTTCTGTCGATTGCTGAGATAATAAATGTCAGTAATGTAGCGTCCAAAATGATCATCGTCGTGTAATTGTACTTCTTAGTAATACGTAACCTCGATTACCTGTAGAAATTGTAAGAATTATCATGGCTCAATGTAAGTTAACCCCTCGTGAGTTTATAAATAATGCTTTCTCCCCACAAATTGCTGCGGTGTGTTCAACCGCGGCCGATGCAGCTTGTCAGAAAAATAATTTATCATTTGTTGAACTTCTACAACCGTTCTGTAAGTTAAATACCGAAGGTAGGATTTCATGATTATTTTTATACATTAGTTTCCAACATTAATTTTATACATTAATCCGCGATATGTCTATAATTTTGTTGTAAGATTTATGTAAAACCGAGACTATTTAGTTGCAATAAAGAGAAAGCAGCATTTTGTTATTACCTCTCTTTATATTATGTTTTGTACAAGTACATCGTACATGTAAAATACTCTATGTAGGCATAGATAATATTTTAATGTCTACTATATGTATAATTTTTATCATAATAAAGTTAACACACTACATATTATTAAACAAAATAAATATACAGATTATACATTATAAATATATTATTGTTTGTATTATATGTAATCTTGTTGAACATTAATATATTGTATAATATATTCATTTTCATAGGTCATTTTAAAGATCCGCAAGGAAACACGGTAACTATTAGGAATCTTCGACTTTTTATACAAGATGTTAATGCACAGCCACCAGACCCAAGCATCGCTAGAAAAATGTTGAACGAAGCAGTTAATTCAGTTATGTGCGAGCATACAACTTCTATCCGAATTGGAACAACAGAGCTTGATATACCTGTCTCGGTTCCTTGGTTCGAAGCATGGAGAGAAATGTTTCTAAGCGTTCAGTTTCCATCAGATCACGAATTCACAAAGCATTTTCTTGCTTGTATGGTAGTCATTTCTACAGCAGAAGACAATCCTTTGGAAAAGATACAAAATATGGGTGCACAGTTACATCAAAGTATACCTGGAAAATTGCCAAAGTGGTTTAATAACAATACACTTAGATATTATATCTTAGTACATGATGCTATACAAGACGACAGGAATAAGTATTTACATTAATATTTTTTATTTTTTATACGTTGAATTTTATTCGTTCAAATTAATTATCTATAATTTTGCAGGGCTGAACTAGTTTTTACAGAAATGAAAAATATTTATGGTGCTAATAATTGTTTTTTATTACAAATGAATTCAAGACCTCCTGGTCAATTTGACGACAATACTCATTTGCCAGATCCTTGGAGTCAATTTTTAATAAAGCCTTCGGAAACATATGGAGGTAGCGAACAAGGTAGTTCTCCTCGTACACCTGCTGATACAAGCGGTGTTTCTGCTATGCCAAATGAAGTTACAACAGATACAGACAAGTATGTTTTTCTTTTTTTATTACAACCTTTAAACGTTGATAGAATGTATATGCAAATTTTTATTTCAGAACCAGCCAGGCTGGAACACCAGTAACTTCACAAAATTCTGTATTAGTTTCTCCAGATGTAAATAGTACTGTTAGTTTTTCTTCCGAAATATCTGAATCTGTAAACACACCTTTAGAAGTTGGACAAGAAGCTGTTTCTGTTACAATTCATCCTTTGAGTCCAACAATTGAAAAATCACAAAATCTAAATTACACTGTACATACGAAAGGACAAACAGTTAGCGATACTCCAATAAATGTAAATGTTTGGGCAGATTCTCCTAGTTACATAGCAACACAACATGGTGCTAGATTGTCTACGCAAGATCTTGAAAGATTACGAACATTAATAACAGAATTTTGTTTAAAAAGTTTATTTCCCTATGTAGAAAAACAAATTGGTTTACTGAACGATGTAATTTCAAATAAGAAAGGTGTTAGTAGATCACTTTTTAGTGCTACAAGACGATGGTTTGGAACAAATAAACCTGGAATACCAGGACCTACTCCGTCGAATGCTGTAATGTATGTTGTTTATCAATACTTATATACCATCCTTTCATATAATTATAACTCATATAGTATTAGATATGAAAAAAATTGTAACATAGCATATATAAATATATAAAGTTCCAGCTTGTTTGGATTTCAGTTATACAACAGAATCGCCAGAATTACAATTGCGTCGCTTAGGTGACTTATGTTTCATGTTTGGTCACTATTCACTTGCTTACCAAGCATATCATAGTGCAAAAAGAGATTTTGCAGCAGATCAAGCTTGGCTTTATTATGCAGGTGCTCTTGAAATGGCTGCTTTAAGTGCATTCATGCAAGGTGAAACTAATAGAAAGACTATTGAATATATGGATGATGCAATATTAACTTATTCGAACAGTTGTAAAAAGCCTCAGTTTGCAACAAGGGCAACACTTCTAAGTGCTGAATGCTTGAAAGGCAGAAGTTTATACGGAGAGGCTGCAAAACAATTGATCCGTATGACTAGTGAAGATTCAGATTTGCGTTCTGCGCTTTTATTAGAACAAGCAGCTTATTGTTTCATTCGACCAAAAATGATGCGCAAGTATGCATTTCACGCTGTTCTTGCTGGCCATAGATTCTCAAAAGCAGGCCAAAGAAAGCATTCGTTACGATGTTACCAACAGGCATACCAGGTACTTTTAATTAATCCATAATCAAAAATATCTGCAAAGTATCTCTTCCCAGATTTTTACGAAACTGTATCATTTTTTCAAAAGTTTTGAGAATATAGACAGTAAAAGCGATGTTTCAACTTTTCTATTAATTTTGTTCCCTTGTGTTATTTTCCATCAAAAACCACAAAGAATTTATTTTAAAAGGTGTATAATGGAAGGGGTTGGTCATTAGCCGAAGATCACATACATTTTACCATTGGCAGACAGGCTGCATCGCTAAAACAAGTTTGTGAATCTGTTCAAGCATTTGAGAAATTGTTGAATGCTTACAGCAAACAAGCAGCTCCACAACAAGCTACATTTTTACGTGAATTTTTACATATCCATAATGTATGTATATATATTGTTATTAATTGAATTCTTTCATTTGCACATATTATCTTCCTTTCACATAAATCATAATCTGTATATTACAGCTACTGTTACAGGGAGGTTTATCAAATCATCAAGAGCTTCCTATCTTACCTTTACCATTAATAGATAATAATAATATTAAAGTATTATATGGTCCTATGGCTGTGCCATATGGAAATAATATTCCAGCAAATCATGTTTCATTTGATATGGAAGAATGTGATGATGCAAGATGGTCAAAGATGGAAGAGATGTTAATAACAGAAGCTCAGGGATCCTCGCCTATGATATTCAGACCAACCATTTCATTATATTCTAAGACAAGTAATAACAGCATAAAACCAAATGCAGTTTTGCATGAACCAGTGCATTTTTTTATCGAAATGTATAATCCATTGCACATACCGCTGCCATTATCTAACGTGACTTTGTTATGGTTGTTCATTTCTGCCGATGGACAAATTACAAATGAAACGAAGTTGTCGGAAAATTTAAAGCCAACAGAAGCGCAAGTAATCGAAACAATTATCTTGCAACCAGCTTGTAGACAACATATTACATTGTATTTAATACCAAAACAAGTAGGGGAATTAAAAGTGTTAGGTTTAAGCTATGATTTATCTAATCCAACACATGCAATAGATCCTCCAGTTGTTAACCCAACAATAGCTATTACTGGCAAAAGGTTATTTGAAATTAAAGGTCCTAAATTAAAGAATATTAAAGAAAAACCTGGTGCAAATATGTATGGCATAGATTATAGATTGGAAATGAATGTTATTGAAAAGGCACCTTTTATGCAGGTAATTAACTTTCAAATACAGTTACGTGTAAAAAGTTTGATGTCTTCCTAACATAATTATATAAATTTATTTATAGATTTTCTTTAGTAAGCTGCCCTTGAAAATGTTATGTGGTGAAATTCAAAAAATAGAAATTACATTAAAGAATGTAGGTAATGCACCATTATCAAATGTCTACTTAGCATCTACGGATGCTAAACTTTTCTCATTAAGAGACGAGGATATGAATGTACAAGGTATATTCTCATTTTAAAGTATAAAATTGAAAAATGATTAATCGTTGATAAGTTTATGGTAACATATTGTTGTTATTTCAGAGAATACGGTAAAGAAGAATAATAAACTTGTAACAAAAATTCCGTTAACCACCAATAACGATACATTAAACGTTGGAGAGACATGTATAATACCGTTGTGGATATGTGCACCCCACGAAAAGGGGACCCATCGCTTAGATTTACTTTTTTACTACGAAAATATCGATTCAAAAAGTATGGTAAAATACCGACTTTGCAGACATACATGGCATTTTACAGTTTTTGATTCCATACAAATTAGTGCAGTTGCTTCAAGAAGTGTATTATTTAAGGATATTTCCCCCACGTTGAATTTAATAGTGTGCATTAAAAATGCAAATCATATTTATGATTCCCTTATGAATGAAATCATGCTGTCTAAAGTAATGTTTGAAAGTGATACGTGGTCTGTATTTAGTTCATCTGTCTTGCCAACTGATATTAAAATACATCCTCAGGAAATGTCTCACTTAATGCTTAAACTGAGAAAGAAAAACGAGAGTGAATCAATATTTTCTGACGTATCCTTAACTCAAGAAATCGTTAGCGCAGATATGAATTATCCATATATCAGTTTCATCCAAAGAAGACATATTCCGTCGTTAGAAGCGAATGAAAATGTAAATGAAATGCAACAGCAATTTCAACGATCGCCGCAAAATGTTAACCAAACATCTTTGTCTGTGACTATGTCATTAAATTCTACTTTAATCCTTAAATGGCAAGCGAAAGTAGTTGAAGGTGGAATTATTACTAGACAAGCAATTGGTCAACATCATCTTGATCTCGAATATTTGAACAAAACTTATAAACATCCCAAGGAAATTCAAATTGAACCAAGCGAGTATGGAGGGTGCTTGAAAATCTTTGGACCAGATAAAAACATACCCACTTTTTTGGCTGTGGCTAATAAAGAACAAATTTTAGAAACAGAATTTTTGAAGAATATAGTTTCCTTTTCTTTGAGTCATACTAGACAAATCACGCATAATTTTAATCGAAGTCGATTGTGCTTTGTCCCTGTAATAATGTATATACAGAATCATTTAGAAACACAAATCGATATTAAAGTCAGTACAATAGGAACTAGCAGGTATATATTATTAAAAGATTAACATACGTTACTCTTGCGTACTTTATTTAATGTCAAAAGTAGCGATTCGGCAAATGTACAAATCACTCTGTTTCTTTTCAGTGGGACACATCTTCCAAATATAAAATCACAATTGTACTCTCCGCAAGCGTCTACGTTTTATAGATACGCTTGCCATTCAGCTATTTGTTCTCAGATACAACCACTTACCAGCAATACTGTAAAACTACAAGCTTTACTTCCAGCTCCTGGGACATACGATTTAGCCGCGCGTGTAGAAGTTTTTGTAAAACTTGTAAATACTAGAGAATTCATCTTGCAAAAGTGGAAAATGGAGAGCATATGTATTATTAATGGTGATAGTAAATAGCTAAAAAATTATAAAGGTATTATTATTACTATTAAATAATGTAATAAATTAATTTCATTTATGTAATTTAAAATCATTCCTCAATGTTATGTAAATATCTAGTGCAGATTATTATTATTATACTATAAATTATTAAAATTTAGTATGTATTATTTAACTTTTTCCATTTTTTTTTTTTTTTAATTTTTTCAGATACATCATAGTACGAATAAAATTATATATGTTTATGCATATATAAACGATTCATTACAGTATAATTAGAGTATCTACTCATAGTTCACTCTAAAATGATTGTTGTACATTTTATTATTATAGATTGATATATTAAAGTCATCTTACATAAAAATATGCTCAGTTATCATCTCTCGAGTAAATATCGAAATTATATTATAGTGACTATGTCATGAATATATTTTTTGAATTAGCATTTCATATCTTTTAAAGTATAATTGCGGAATGCTGTGAACGATAGATGGTCAAAATATAAATAATAAATGTTTATAATGGAAATTAAAATTCTTGTATGGAAATACATATTCATATGCCAATACAATAAAATGTGGTTAATTGTAATAAGAAATTACAAAAATCAATGTTTCGAACTTAAAAATAATCATATCAGAAAATTGAAATAATAAATATACGTACATGTAAATCAATTATACAATATATCGAGTGAGGATATTTGTGTAATATTATGCGTTAATAGTACAAGATATTAGGAGAAACATTTGGGCAACAGATGATATGATAATTTCGTTTATAATGGATTCTGTAAGTAATATGAATCTGTATGGAATAATCGATCTAAGAGATTGTACAGAAAACGGTAGCTTTAAATATTTAGTCAAAGAAATGCCAATTCAAAAATACTTCTAAGTAATATGTAACATTAAAATATAAAAATAATATATTTGAAGGGGCATGTATTCGTATAACAGTGACGCGTATTTATTTATGTATAATAGCTTATATTTTATACAATTAACATTATACAACAATCGGGCTTAACACCTTCACATAAATAATAAAACAATATAGAACAGTCAATTTCGTAACTGATAAATTATAAATATATTTATACACGCACGATTCTTTGCGTGCGTATGTATATCCAACATTCACACACAAAAGTAATGGTAAATTTGACGTAAATGAATCACACATAATAATTTACATCTTACATAGTCAATGTCACATAACATTATGCCACGAAGATTTCTGGGATCATTTATCAATATAAATATATATCGTTAATTAAAATTTCACAAAACATTAATCAAACGGCATCAATTGATAAAAATAAATAAAAGTCATTTAATATAGCATAAAGCTTTTTTAAAGATAAAATGAATATTAAAGTAGCTATATTCCTTTCATTTATAATATATTACATTTTTTTTCTATTTGTAGAAAAATTATAAAATTCTTTTTATCGATGTTCCGTTTATATGAACTTTAGCGATGAGAGTTTTTAAGGTACAGACGCATATAAACAGATGTATTCATACGTAAATCTAGATGTTTCTTACATACTGTACCAATTACGATTTCGTAAAATTTGTACAATATTTTTTTATCTATTAATATTCGGTATTATTCCGAACTAAAAATCATTTTTTGTAAAATCATAGTGAAAAAATTTGTACGCTTTGTTTGCATATAATTAATACTGTTCAATTTTTATAAATTTCACTATGCCGATTTCCATATGCATATCGCTAAATTCCCAGCGCAATACATGTATAACAGGTGTTTCAGTTGATAAGTTATTTCAAATCCGTAGCCTTCGCCCACAACCGTGTGCCACGAAGCGCCGAATTTCTTATCCATCGTCTCTTTGATCATTCGAGAAACGTTTTCATAATTATCGGCATATTTTTCGGCCGCGGTAACGCACAGTTCCATTGCTTCTTGTTTCATTTCATCCGACATATCGCACTTCTACAACGCAGACAAATAGCACAAACTTTCATAAAAATTAATCACATAAATTATTAAACGAAGTGATAAATTTTTTGGGTGAAAAAAAATATGTTAATACTTGGCCATAAAACAATGCAATTTAAACACGTACTCCGTTCAATTGTTTCTTTTCAATTTAATTTATTCGGAAACAGTCTGTCAAGATAAACATTTTATTAATGATAATAATCTAACACCAAAATTATTCTAATGAAAATACTTTTATATATATATGTATATAAATAGTACTTTTCAAATAATGACTTCTTCTATTGATCAAACACCGACGGAAGCGACCGAATTTATTTTTCTTCGATATATTCCCTAATATGTTATGTGTAAAGTAAATTTTACTTACTCTACATAGAGGATACGTATGTAGAACTTTAATGACGTCATCTTTCTTCACTTCGGTCATTTTTTAAAATAAAGCAGCATCAAAATCGTATCAGGTACTGCTGCCTCTATTTGAGAAACAATTAGGAAATTGCCATCTTTCAGGCGCACGTTTACTCCTGAAGTTCAGTGTTACTAACGCTACCCCTAAGTCAGAGGTTCTCAAATTGTGATCTAAACTTTAGGGTGCAATAATTAGTAAACAATGCCATACATCAGATTGTATTGCATCCAATTTATTATTTTACAATCTCGTAATCTGTTGAAAATGTTTGATTAAATATCTGTAACAAATGTATTACTACTTCTATTTTCGAGGACTCTAATTTTCTAAATTATTGTCCGTTTATATTTGCCAAACTTTTTAAATAGTCCTTATACAAATTTTAATTCATGTGATTCAGCATAAGTATAACAAAAACAGTGAGGATTGGTACATTTTTCGATCGTGAGAAAATATAATAATTTAATTGTTAAGTATATTATTTATTATACTGTTTGATATATTTTCATTTTTAATTGAGCATTATATATTAAGATTTGAATCTCAAATGATCAATTTTAACGAAGTTTTGGTTAAATATTCTATTATTTAGTAATTGAAAATTAGGTTAAGTTTTGTACTAGAGAATTTGGTTACTGACTAAAAAATCAAGTATTTTTAAAACATTAAGACGATAATTAGATATTTATTTTAGAAAAATGACATCCCGATTCAGTGGAGCATTACAAATTTCAAATTTGGATGATTTCATCACTCCATCTCAGGTATTTATATTATTCATTTGCTTTTCGATTTTTGATATGTTATTACAAATAATCCGTTTTTGACAGGAATGTATAAAACCTATAGAAATTCAAGCATCGAAATCAAAAACTGGTGCAAAAATAAAAATCGAAGAAGATGGGACACCTATGATGTTAAATGATGTATGAAAATTGTTAATATATTTGTTGACAAATATTGTTATATTATTTAACAATTTGTTCGTATTGTGTTTGATAGGCTGGACAACCTGAGAAGTTACAAAAAGTTGAAATCACACTTACCGATTGTTTGGCTTGTAGCGGTTGCATTACATCTGCAGAGAGTGTATTAATTACACAACAAAGTCAAGAAGAATTATTGCGTGTATTTAGAGAAAAACAGTGTCAATGTCAGGTAACACTGTAAAAGAATTCTTACTTTTGCTGTTATATTTCTTATAGCTTTATATTTATTTATAATATGTTTTACATATATTGTTTAGAGTGCGGACGGTACATGTTCAACCTATATAGTAGTTAGTCTTTCTGTACAAGCGGTCTTGTCCATAGCAGAACGTTATAATCTAAATCCAGAAGAAGCACAACAAAAATTAGCTGGTTATTTTTATCAATTGGGAGCAGATACCGTGTTAGACATGACTGAAGCTGATGATTTTGTTCTTCTAGAAAGTGCTAAAGAATTTGTAGAACGTTACAAAGCAGCTAAAGAAGGCTTAAAAAATCAGTTACCAATGTTATCTTCCTCTTGTCCAGGTAATATTAATAAAAGGTTACTAAATAATACTACTTGCTGGTTATAAATATTTACGTGTTTTTAAAAATAGGCTGGGTATGTTACGCTGAGAAAACTCATGGTAATTTTATACTTCCTTATATAAGTATAACAAAATCTCCTCAACAAATCATGGGATCGTTAGTTAAATATCACTTGGCCGAAACTATGGTTCTTCCGCCAGAACAAGTATATCATGTAACTCTTATGCCTTGTTACGATAAAAAATTAGAAGCGTCTAGAGAAGATTTTTACAACCATGAAAGAAAGTCTAGGGATGTAGATTGTGTTATAACGCCAAGTACGTATCTTGAATTATGTTATGATATTCGTGTATGGTATATGTATTTACAGACATTTTTTTACAGTTGAACTAGAACAAATGCTTAACGAGAACAATGTGAAATTAAACGAAATAAACGCGAAGAAAATTCAAAGACCTTTTGGATCGCAAACTGCTAATTTGAGAAACGAATTATATGGTCATAGTGGTTCAGGATCTGGCGGTTACGCCGATTTTATTCTTCGTTATGCTGCTAAACATTTATTTGATGAAGCGGATATCGCAGTTGAGTTTAAGAGTCTCAGAAATCCGGATTTTCAAGAAGCAGTTTTCCAAAAAGATGGACAGACCCTTTTAACATTCGCAATTGCTAATGGATTTAGAAATATACAAAATCTTGTACAAAAATTGAAAAGAGGAAAATGTCCATACGATTACATCGAAGTTATGGCATGCCCGTGTGGTAAGTTTCATTTAATTCTCTACAACGTGATTAAGCAAATTATAATTTTTTAAGGAAAAATTTGATTGATGTACAATATTCTCCAAATAACTGAAGTAACTTTTTCTTGAACAATGAAGACTCATCACTCTTTACGTTTATTTTAAAGTTGGTGGATATCTTGTGATCCAGCCTTAGTCATATCATAGTTAACAGAATTTTTTGTTTTTATTTAAATCAAGCTATAGGCCGCATTAGTCATTTGTCATATCACATAATGATCGGGAATTCAAGAAATAATATTGTTTAGCTCGAACGTTAATTAATTTATGAATACATAAATAACTAAAAAATAATTCCTTTTTAAAAAGATAAAAGAAAATGAATGCAATAGAAACTGAATATATTGCAATAAAGATAATATATTTAAATGTAATTGCTAGGTTGTTTGAATGGAGGCGCACAAATTAGACCCCCGAATAACATTCAACCACGCGAGTTAGCACTGAAATTGGAATCTGCATATCACCAACTTCCTCAAAGTAATCCTGAAGAAAATCAGGTTGTTCAGACTTTATATAAAACTTGGTTAGGAGGAGAACACACAGATAAATCTTTAAATTATTTCCACACTCAGTACCACGAAATAAAAAAAATGAATACAGCTCTTGCAATAAAGTGGTAATTATAACAGATAAATTAGATTTAAGGTTGTATGTATACTTTATGCTACTGATACATTATCTTGTAATTAAGTTATTATTGTCTGAAAATATATCGTGAACATTAAACAGATAGTATGAAAAAACTAATTTGTAAATAGATTGTTAAATAAAAATTTGTAAATACTTTTACTAATAAACAAATAGATAGGATTCTTTTACAATGAATGTATAAATGAAACAGTACCAACAGCAATATTATTTAAATAATAGATTTATTAGATACAACTTTTTCACAAAAAATAAAACATATACCTCAACGAACATAAACTATACGTTTTATAAAATAATAATCTTATAATTAAGTTTATTCGGTATAACGCTAAAATGTACAGCAAATATAAAACGTTACATAGATTGTGTACCAATTATTTTTTTTTTATCACATTTACATAGTAATACATTTGTTCAAAGTGCAAAAGATTGTCTTTCATAGTTTTTTTCATATTGTTTCATTGAATAATCTAACATGACTAGTAATAAATATTGAAAAAAATAGTACTTTCAGAGAAAACTATTCTTTTATATTTTTTGTTTAACAGTGTAATTGTACTTTATATATACTTCGACATAACATCCTGTAACTTAAATATATATATATATATATATTTGTATATATGTGCAAAGTAATATTTTAACTTAAGTTCTTTACCATAATATTTCACTCCTTAAATTATATATTTTATATTAAATTAGTTATTTGTTCAAAATAGTATACATTCTAACTAAATAATACTGTTGAAGTAATTGTGAAGAATACAGACAGAGAATAAAAATGTATATGTATAGAAATAGAAACACTGTGAATATTAATTTTCTTAAAATAATTACATTAATATAATGGTATTCAGTTTTAATGAAAGCGTGCTTAACGCAAAATAACACAGTGTGTTTTTTACAAAATAAATAGCAATATACGTTTAAAAACATACATATTATTTTGTTTAAATAAATATGTATTTCGTTTTGTTCAAAACGATTATATATTATAAATAATAACTTATCTTTATAAATTATAATAAAAGTAACATATAACAATTTTGCCACAAATTTATATTAAAATTAACAATTAGTGACACTATGCATATAATTGTATATATTATCTACCTTTTAGCATATTAAAATTTCCTTAATTTTTTAAATATTATATAATAATTTAAAAATACGGTCACATTTTAAACAAGTAAGAACATTGCACGATATATTAATATAAACTGAGTAGAAATGATTGCATTTTATTTTTCTTTGTGCACAAAAGTTTATATGCAATATTCATAATCTTCAATTTTTTATATTCTTTGCTATTCAATCTCCTGGATTTAGAACATTCTCATGGATGTTTTATTGCCACATCCGTTCTAAATTTATTTTGGCCTGAAGCATTGAGAAAATAACTCAAAAAACTGAAAGAACTTCAATTACCTAGAATTTTTGTTATCTACAGATTCTTCGTTTTCATTCATCTCTTTAGACTCTTCTTTTTTTAAGTCTATGTCTCCATAACTATCTTCAATATATGTAACCAACTCATGGTTTGTACCGATTTCTTCTTTATTTGCATATGTATTTATTAACCATCCTTGATTGCTATCTATTTCTTTTGACACAACAAGAAATAATTCTTTCTCCTTGCTGTCTATCTGGTCCTTCAAATATACAAGTAAATCATGCTCCTAAAAATATATGACTTTTAATGATAATTTATGATAGTTCATTTATCATATATAGGAAATAGATAATATAAATAAACGAATCGTTAACTGACCTTTCCTATAAGTTGTGGAGAATCAAGCTTCGAATCAAGGTTATAAAAGGCACCATGAATTTTTTTCAGGGCAATCCAGTGACGTCTTTTTAAAGGAAGTAATACAAATCCTAATTTATATTCTGACGGTACATTTAATATAAAGCCTTCAATATTATCTAAGCACAGACACTTAGGGTCTCTAAAAAATTTAACAAGTATATAAATAACAAATTTTTTAATTTACAATGTAGCAATAGCACATTATTAATAATTATTAAATTTTACAAACCTGCGTTTGTCAAACCAGACTGCTTCAAGTCCTTTTCGTTGTAAAGCTGCCATAATAACATTAATATCATAATTACCAAACCCTAACAATGATTTATGAGGATTAATCCATACATCTGGACTTAAGCTATAACAAATTTGATCTAATTCTTGTTTACTAAATCCTCTTTCTTGAAATAAATTATTTAATGCATGTAATGCGCAAAGCTCTTTTACCTATAAAGAAGAAAAATAGAAATGTCATAGAATATAAATTAATATGGTTTTTCATATGTTGTACAATCATAACTTAAGAGTACAAAACAATTTGGTAATTTACTTGTCTCTCATGATATATGGATCCAATCATATTAGCTGCTGTACTTGCAACCATTTTATCTACATAATTTCCCGTCTATGTTATATTATGAATTTTATTAGTTCATAAATCGCATACTTTATTTAAAATCTTTGCGGTACAATAAAACTTGAAAAGTTTTACAATGATATCATGTAACGATAACCTTCAATACCTGGTCAATCTATGAACAAAATCGAAAGGTTATTTGCTCAAATTTGATGAGAGGCTATATTAATTATTAAATAATTGCAACGGAAATACATACTGCGACGAAAATTAATTATTGTCACTTTAGAATACGCTACAATTCCACGATAAACTAACGAAAAGTATCGCCGACAATATTGATATAATATATGTAGGTATGTTTGTATATACTATTTGTTTACGTTCATTCATAATTACACTTTATTATATATCCTTAAGCAGGTTTGGAATGGTTTAGAATAACATTCATGACATTCATCCTTGTAAATGCTAATACTCAATTTCGTTTTGTACAATTACATAAAAATCGTTTGAACCTACACTACGCGTACTATCTTTATTTAAACTAGAATATCACATTGCTGATTGGAGATTTTTAGATTACTGTGGATTACTAACTAGATAATATTCGATTGCTATTGAAACTGCGAAATTATCTTCATATTCAAAGTTTACATTTCAACGTGAATACATAATAATTGACTTTTCATTTTAAATTTTATTTGAAGGATGTGTTAATGGGAACGTAATTAATACAATTTATTAATTAGTACGCACCTGAATTTTACAAATATACATTGCTATTGGTCAATACAGTGGCTCTCCAAGGATATGTGATACCTTTAGCAACACCTATTAATGGTGCTCCTCATACCAACAATAAGATTCTAATTTTTTAGGATTACGATTATTTACTATTATTATTTATCGATACCTATGGGTTTATATTCTTTGTGTACATTTGGAAAATAATTATATTATAATATATTTAATTATAGTAACGCACATTGCGCGACATATTTTATATGAAGTGTAGCTCGTGTATTTCGGAATGTTTTATTAGTTATTTATAAAAGATGTAATTGAAGTAGAAAAAGTCAACATTATGACCATCGAGTAGAGCATTACGATTCTCAAGAGCTAATCTCTAAAGCAAATACCAGACTATATAAATTATTCTAACGATTTTCACAGAAAATCCCATAACGTACTTATTTATTTATGCTATTGTGGGCTATTTGTTTGTCAGGATTCGCTGCATTTTAACGACTAATAAAATTGCATACACATGTCGTTGTTTTGACGTTATTAAATCACAAAATGACAGGCCCAATTTGATAACATAGATGTTGATCTTTGTTAGTAGTATAAGCATTTTTATCTTATTCTAAATTTATAGAAAGTTTCAAGTTAAAAAGACGTGTGGTAGAGCACATTAAAGACAAGAGGGTCTTAATTTTTACATATTGTAACGTTTAGATTTAATTAGATTATTTTGCGCTCTTAAATAATTAATTAATAAACTTGAATTTGAATTCGCTAAAGTAAGGTTAGGTTAGTCTGTGGTTGGAAATGTATACAACCAATTAGAGTTAAATATTATCTTTACGCCTCTTTGACTTGAGATTCATTATACATATGCTCTATGTTTGAATACAAATTTCGTAAGAATGATGCAAAATTATTCTAGAAAAATTAAATTATCAGTTGTATCAGAAACGTGTTAATTCCATCAGTTTTCGAGATGTTTTATCTTTAAAAGGAATCATTAAATTTAGGTTGTAATGGATGTTGAATACAAATTAATAAGGGAAATAGATTGTAAACAAGGGGCAGTAAGAGCTGTACGATTTAGTGGTATGTACAATATTTATTTTAAATTAATCTTCTATTAATATACAATGTTAATAAAATAGTAATTTGTGTACAATACTTTTTCAGTTGATGGTACTTATTGTTTAACTTGTGGGTCTGATAGAAAACTAAAATTATGGAATCCACACAGAGGTGTTACATTAAAAACATATGGAGGACATGGAGACGAAGTAATGGATGCTTGTGCATCCTGCGATAGTAGTCAACTTGTATCTTGTGGATTAGATAAATCAGTTATTCTTTGGGATGTAGCAACTGGAACTCCAGTTCGTCGTTTAAGAGGTCATGTGGGTCCTGTAAATACAGTAAGGTATGTTTAAAAAAATTTAGTGTACACACATATGTCAATACATTTTTAAAATTTTATTAATTTTCATTGTTATGATAGGTTCAATGAAGAATCTTCAATGATCGTTTCCGGATCACGAGATAATTCAGTTATGTGTTGGGATGCGCGTTCTAAGGTACAGGATCCTGCACAATGCTTAGGCGAAGCTAAAGATTCTATTTCAAGTGTCAGAGTATCAGACCATGAAATTTTAACATCCTCGTTTGATGGTAAAATACGTAGGTATGATATTCGTGTTGGTGAAATGTATGCAGATTATATGGGAGGTTAGTAAATAATTTGATACAGTGTAAATAAGTATTTTAAGTACAAATTGTAATTAAGTGTTGTACAAATATTGTAGATGCAGTGACGTGTGCGAGTTTCACAAGAGATGGCCAGTGTATAGTGGTTAGTTGTGCGGATGCTGTAATTAGATTAATGGATAAAGATTCAGGAGAGTTGCTTGGAGAATTTGTTGGTCATGAAGCAAATAATCTGTGCCTAGAATCAAGCGTGAATGTCCAAGATACTCATATTCTCTCTGGATCAGCAGATGGAAAATTGTGGATATGGGATTTAGTTTCTCAAAAAGTTGTTGCGAAACTTTCAGGATTTAAACCAACAAAACATCCTGTAGTGTCGTTGAGTGTTCATCCGCAAACAAACTGTTTCTTAGCTTCCAATGGACCAAATATATTAATGTGGAGTGTTGGGTCTTTGGTACAAGAATAATTTACTAAAAGTTTATAATCAGGACTCTTTTGTGTATTATTTAATTTAAAATACTTTTCATGCCAACAGTTTAAAATAATGAAATATAAATACAATGCTGTATCGTAATAAAATTATTCAACTATTTGTTTCTTTAAATAAACATGTTCATTTATAATACCGACTGTAAAAAAAAAGCAGAACATTGGATCAATAATTATAATACCTTAATTATGAAAATTTGTAATACACAAAGTCTTTTTGTAAAGAAGGGCTATACTTTCTCTGTACAAATTTCGCGCTATTATTACACCACGATATCTTTCACCTGTGTTTAAAAGGGATAGAATATGGGTTAGGTTAAGCTGGGTCACGATATACAGTTAAAGAAACAGGCTATGAGTACGCGCGTAGCGTAACATTAGTAATAGAAGGAGCGAAGGAGAGAGAGAAAGGTGGGAGAAGGACGATGAAATGAAACGAGAGAGGGAGTACTTGCGCGCGCAGGTGGCGCGATATCATGGTGCGTCAGAATCAGTGGTCGCCCTGTCTCGTCCGGGAGAGGGAAAGGAAAAGAGAGAAAGAGGGAACGGTTCTGTACAGCGGAGAGAAATAGAATAGCTGTGCAAGAGGAAGAAAGAGCAACGGTTTCGTACAGGGAGCGAAGAAGATAAGAGAACAGAGGGAGTAAGAGATATACAGCAAGTGATACGAAGGTGCTCGCACACGGGGCGGGCCTGCTAGTCTCAACCACTTCGTGGAGTGCACTTTTTATTTTGTACTCGAGCACGCAGCCACTCTCAATTGTCGACTGTTTGCACGTACACGATTGAGGTTCTGCGACTCGCCCGATGCAGAGTAGAGGCTATTGGACCGCGTGGTCTTATCAGACTTTGCTGGTAATCAGTCAGTACATCGCGAGCAAGGATTGTTGTTGTTGTTATTGTTGATCGATCCCCCCGGCTTACCGGCTGTCAAAGTCACCGGAAAGACAGAAATCGCGATCAAATCAGTTGCAAGCGTAAGCTGAATTTGAAAATCTCGGTGACAGTGTTAGTGGTGGAAAGTGGTGGTGGAAGATACGAAGGAGACGGGTGTGCGACGAAAGAGGGTTGTTATGGGGCGAAGCTGTCGTCTGCTGGTACTTTCGCCGCTGCACTTGCTGACTATATTCGGCTTCCTCGCGGCGGCTGATGCTTTCTCCACTGACAGTAAGTTACATTTTTTAAATATCGAAACGAGCTAAGCGGAAAAGGAAAGTACAAAATAGATGGGAACGTTGTTATTGGAAATGTATGCGACCTACAGTATTGTTAACTGACAAAACACGTAGGAGATGTGCCATGCGCCGGTGTCGCTTATATAATCGACATCTTTCGCGTACATTTTTGATGAGATCTTACAAATCGGCCGACGTAGGACGCGGGAAAGGAGGACAGTCGCCGATATAAAAGAATATCTGACGTACGAGCTCAATATCTAAGATCTGTATGAGGGGGATGCTGTTAGTGTGGAGGTTCGTTGATCTGAAAATGGGGGAAGACCGCGATAGATGGAAGCACGTGAAAATTTTGCCACATTATGCTTCTCGTTTGGAGTTCGGGGTATTCTTTGAAACTCGTAGAAAATACAGAAATGTTTAATACATATATGTATATGATTGAAGTTTAGAATTTTATTTTTTTGCGTTCCAAGCGCGGAATTTTTCGGACAATATGGACATTTACGTAAACATTGTTTTTATCGTATTTTCAAAGAAAGTGGAGAACCGAATTCACGACACTAATTTTACAATAATAATAGGCCACTTTTCTGTCTTCTTGTAAAGAGGAAATTAATGAATGCAAATTTACATATTTACCGTGTATCGAAAAAATGAAGGCATGGGTTGTTATTATTCATCGCCAATTAGAATACGAATTTTTACTGATTACAATTTTCGTAATTGCTACCATGTTCTGTATCAAAGCATGTTTTTGATTCTTGCTTTTTTTATGATGTGCAAGAAAGGTATTACTTTCAAAGTATACTAATTGTAAATATACTTAACCTTTTCATGTACGTATCTAGGTATATCAAATATTATTTATTCTTCTTTTTTTTTTTAATGTATTTATCTCAGTTTTTTTTGTTACGCGTGTGAAAGTGTAGCACAGAAAATAAGAAAAAATATAATGCAAATCGGTTGTATGACTTTAAAAGTGATCCACACATGCGGAAATATACATTTGTTATTGTACTAATAATAAAAATTATCTGAAACTTGTATGTATTGATAATGAGATACGGTGGGCATTCAGGGGTTAACATGGTTCTATTATTTAGTACATAGACTATACATACAGTAAGGTAGTCCATTTCGCGAATTTATTGTAAATATACATGAGTAAAATTGATATATAAATAAATTTATTACGATATTGATAAATAAAATGCCAGCAGAATAGTCGTAAATAAAATATGCAAGTTCGTACAGTTCAGTGAATAATAAAACTTTGTTAACTACTATGTACTATATATTGTTTAATAATTTATGAATAGATAGAGTAAAGTAATAAATTTGTTATATTTCACATTATTAAGGACGAAGTCATTTGACATTTAACAGTCAGTGAAGTAATAGAAAAATTTTCTGGTTCGATGGTCACAATGAAATATTTTCTTTTATTTTACACAAAAATATTGAATTCAATTCAGCCGTAAATTAAAGGTGAATAATGTATAAAGTTTTCTATCAGTGTTAATAATACATCGAAAACAGAATGTAATGAAAGCTGAATGAAATTATCGATTATAGACATTTTATTGTATAATCTGACCAGGCTTTTTTTTTATTTTTGTTGTAAAAAAGATTTAAATATACAATTTAATGCCTCTCGTAAATATTGAAGAATAAAGCAACGGCAACAACGACAACGAAACGTTGTTCATTTTTCGTCGTACAAATTTTGTGTACGTGATTCAAATTTTATTTAAAGTTGTATATTATTATGGTAATTATCTTCTATAATATTTAAAATGAATGTGAATATCCTGATGCAACGACAATTAGTACTGTGACGTCGTCTTCCATGCTCGCCACCAGAGGGGTCGCGCTCTCACAAGCGCTCGACCAACCCTTTGGTATATACAATTCTCGACTGACTTCCCAATATGCCAGTCGTCTAAGACAGGCCCTGCTAGGAAGCCTTAACGATGAGTCCACTAGCAGGCCCCCCCCTCCTTTCCTTTTCTGTCCTACGAAAATTCTCCGAGTTCACCACAGTACAATGACATTTTTAAGTAAATTGAAGCGTGACAAAGTTTGAGAATTTGTGTTGCTAGGTGATTAAGCCCGTTGATTTGTTCGAGCACAATCGCGTGTTGATATGTTTCTACATCGCCCGCTATTAGCGCTGTTTGAATAATTTCTCTGAGGAATTTATATCGGTTGGTACGGTACAAGCAAAGAGAATGAATTGATGCTTGTCAGGCATTATGTCGGCAAATTATTTCAGACGTTACAGAGAAAGGTATGCGTCGAAGTACCAATGCAAGCGAAACAAATTAACATCCGACTGTATGATCACAACAAGCAGTAATCGAATCGTAATAATTCCCACAGGTAGACGAGATTAAATTATCCATTTCTCTACCTTTGAGATATCGGGTAAAGCTTTGAAATTATTTCAATTTTTTTCAGTTGTTTCCCGTTTAAGTGTTAGTAGCTTTAACTTGGAAAAGTGCAATTTCAATCGGACAAATGAAAGGTACGTTTCATGAGTTTCCTTACCGACAAGATATCTAATTTGTCAAGCGTTGTTGCAGTTATTTTAATACGTTTACTTTTCTACGCGATTTACCATCATAGGGTCATTGGTTTTAAACATTCAGTATAATAAAATGTTTTCTCTGGTTATGAAGTATTCAAATAAAGGCACAGTGTACACGCAAATATCAGAATGTTAATATTGATCCTCTTAAAAGGCACTGTGTGATTTTCTTCTCCACAACATCGTATGTGTTATGATATTGATAGATTCATGCAATTCAAATAACGTGATTAAATCAATGAGTATCTCGCATTTGTAAAACGTGTTTTGTTATCAATAAACGCATATACGATTCGTGAAGATAATTTCGTTCGTTTAATGAATGTCAACACGATATTACGTACAACTTCGAGTGGTTTTTGTACATGAAAAAGCAAAGACTAATATTTTCACATTTATGGAAACGTTTCTCATGTTTTTTTAAGCTTTTTTTTAACACTCGTGTCTGACGCGATTCACGAGACACCTCTGTACGATTTACGCGCGTAATTAGGCTTCTTATGTAGATGGCACTACTGACGTTCAAATTTAATCGTAGCACTCTACATTAAAGCTGGGACCATTTCGAATAGTTCACTACATGTTTGGATACTTGACAAATATTTTAACTTTACGAATAAAATCCGTAAGTACCAGAATTTTCATCGAGAACTAAAACATTTTACGCGGATCGATTTAATATTTGCGTTGCACGACGATGGAATTCGAATTTAAAGAGCTTGCGTGCATCATTGGTCATCTTCCGTCATGGTTTTAACAGTACCGCGAACACGTCCTGAATTATTTTTACTACGGAACCACGGACGTGTTAATTTTTATGAAAGAGATTGAACGAGGTCACTTCGCAAAATTGTGAATCGCATTCAATGTTGTGCGGACAAAGAAATGTAAATGAGCGCACGTGAATAAAACCGCGCGTAATGTTCAGACGGTGCACAGACCTGAAATCATCGAGTTATCCAAAAAGGCCGTAGAGTTTCTCGACAGATGTCAACGTTAACGAAATTTTAAGTATAGATTTTTATATTTTAAAGAAGCGTTTCCATAAAGTGTGGCGCTGCTCTGCTGCGGGTAGGATCTCGGAGAATTTCGTAGGATTACAGAAAAGGAAAGGAGGGGGCGCGTTTCGTTCGGGCCCGCTAGTGTGGACTCATCAGTAAGGCTTGATGGAGGCTTCGTTAAAAAGTCATCAACGTTTAAAATTCCGCTCGTACTGAATTTTTTTCTCGAAAGTGGGTAGGATTTCGGGGGTAGGCCTAATGACCAAAAATGATTGCAATTGACCCCTGTAACTAAATATAATTTTTTCAGAATGATTCGATATTTTTTAATTTTGTCGAAAAATTTTACACCTTCTCGAATTTTTTTCTCGAAAGTGGGTAGGATTTCGAGGGTAGGTCTAATGATAAAAAATGATTGTAATTGAACCCTGTAACTAAATATAATTTTTTCAGAATGATTCGATATTTTTTAATTTTGTCGAAAAATTTTACACCTCGAATTTTTTTCTCGAAAGTGGGTAGGATTTCGAGGGTAGGTCTAATGATAAAAAATGATTGTAATTGAACCCTGTAACTAAATATAATTTTTTCAGAATGATTCGATATTTTTTAATTTTGTCGAAAAATTTTACACCTCGAATTTTTTTCTCGAAAGTGGGTAGGATTTCGAGGGTAGGTGTAATGACCAAAAATGATAGTAATTGACACCTGTAACTAAATATAATTTTTTCAGAATGATTCGATATTTTTTAATTTTGTCGAAAAATTTTACACCTCGAATTTTTTTCTCGAAAGTGGGTAGGATTTCGAGGGTAGGTGTAATGACCAAAAATGATAGTAATTGACACCTGTAACTAAATATAATTTTTTCAGAATGATTCGATATTTTTTAATTTTGTCGAAAAATTTTACACCTCCTCGAATTTTTTTCTCGAAAGTGGGTAGGATTTCGAGGGTAGGTCTAATGATAAAAAATGATTGTAATTGAACCCTGTAACTAAATATAATTTTTTCAGAATGATTTGATATTTTTTAGTTTTGTCGAAAAATTTTATACCTTCTCGAATTCTTTTCTCGAAAATGGGTAGGATTTCGAGGGTATGTGTAATGACCAAAAATGATTGTAATAGAGCCCCACAACCAAAAATAATTTTTTCAGAATGATTTGTAATTTTTTAATTTAATTTTTTAATAACTTTTTAATGAAGCCTCAGTCAAGAAATTGATATTCTAGATTTTCATCTTATTTTGGCCTCTAGAATCTCCCATTAATGTATAACAACCGAGAGGTCGGTCGAGCGCTTGTGAGAGGGCGACCCCTCTGGTGGCGAGCATGTGAGGCGACGCCATAAAAGAAAAAATTTTTTTTTAACTCGATAAATTACAAATTAAGATTCCGTTTTGTACTTTTCTTTTTCCGTGGGTTCTCTCTGTCTATCTTTTGCACGTTTCTCGTTGTTTTTTCCATTTCAACACAGAGTGGCATTTCATATTTCGTTTTTTCTATTTCGTTTCAGGAAACTCTTGTTCCTTAAAGCAATTTCGATGTGCGAATAATAAGTGTATACCGATGTTGTGGGTCTGCGATTCCACAGACGACTGTCTAGACAATTCCGACGAGACCGCCGAGGAATGCACAGGTGAGAGACGGATATTCAAATGTATCGTGCACTTTGCAGGAACGATCATCGACAATGCAGTAGTTCTCGTATAAAGACCCGAATAAAATGCGAACTATACGCGTGTCCCGTTCTCTCTCGCGTTTCGTTGAATACAAAAACCGATATTGAATAAAAGGCGGGCTCAATCAATATAAAGTCTCCAATACGTTGACCGCCGGGTACGTGTTAATTCGTAGCTGACGATCTGTTATCGAAAGTCACTTACACGCTGCGACAAAAAGATATCGCGTTTAATAATTTTATTTACAACGTAAAAATAAGTTTAAAAGAAACTTGTAGCTTCGTGGTATGGTATTTGTTTCAATTTCAGTCCCTTGGGTAAGAAATAGACTTGGTTTAACACTGATTCTACCAAAGGTAGCGAAAGACGCCTTACAAAATTTTAATTAGTTTCTAAGTTTAAATCGTATTTTTAAAAATAACATAATTCACGTTAACAATTACTGCCACAGTTATTTTCATAAAAATGCAATCAAAATCATTCACCCTTGCATATCTAACCTTCGTTCCTTCGTTGTTGCTTTCCTGTTCAGTTCGATAAATATAATTATTTTCTTCTATCCTTGCACATTTAGCCCTGGCTATTAATATCTGACCATTGTCCTTCCCCTGTTTGTCATGATACTCTGGAGTCAAACTACACCTTACGTATCTATACCACCTATTATACCTTAACCTTGACCTTTAAATCCAATTGTATTGCATTTGTACTTGTACCTTCTTTAATATTCCACCAGCATCTCTATTTTTATTCCCCTGCTGTCCTATATCTTCATTGGTATTCCCATTTCTGTTAAAATATTCTATTGCAGCTACGTCAGTTATACGTAGCTAAATTTTGAGTAGAACTTTTGGTGACCGGTCTAAAATTAAAATTCTATTATGAATCAATATGATCTCTTATCTTTTATCTTAAATCAATATCGTAAGTATTAGAATATAGAAACGCTTGAATTTAGTCACGTTGCCAATAGAAATAGTTCTTTCGAACATATTTTAGAACATGTTTGTTGTAAGTGAAATGCGTTGTTTACCTTATTGTTTTTAATTACCAACGCATACCCCGCTGGAGAAACAACAGAATCCATACGAACAACAATGGAGAATGTTATTGCAAGTATAGAGTTTCACTATCATGTTAATTGGATAAATATTTTCCAAGAAAAGCTGCGCGTCGCGACGCCATTCGATGTGGATCAGTTTACGTTCGCACGTACCGGAGCAAACGTTTATTGCTGTAATTTTAGCAGTGGCAGCTAGTAGCAGCTAATGTTTTTCTAGGAATAAAGGCAAAACATCAGTCTTAAAAATGAGACTAAAACGAAACCCTCAGCTCGCTTCAGTCCTAATTAAAAAATGGAATGAAAATTCAAAACATTCAAATAGGCATAACTCAAAAGTATCATAGATATAAAAATGTAATTTGCTACAATTCCAGTAAATACTAGATAAAATTGATTTCGTCGCTCATTTAATTTAAAAAAAAACAACACAGTCGTAGACGACGAATTTAGTTTCGAACGATTTTGAGATTGACCACTTCAGAATCCCCTAGTCGTCACCAGAATTAACAAATAGTAAACAAAATTATGCTAAATCATTACCCATATGTTCAGTTAAATAAAATAAATTTTTCATTATACTTTTAAAAAAATGATTTATTATTTTCGGGAAATGGTACCACTGTGCGTATCGATTATATTATGAATAATTCAATTTACCAGCAAAAAATTTTTGCGTTAGTAATTCTCTTTCATTTTTGCAACAATCTCGACTCGCGCGTCGATTTTTTCGCTTTGAGATTCGCTGTAGCGATACAGCGACGATCTCCATTCTTGCAGTATTTTGCAGCGACTTGTCCAATGTTAATATTTAATGCTTGCATAATAAGCAGTACAGGCTAGACCTTGCTTCATCATTGAATATGTAAGTAGCTAGGTAGATCGCGATTTCTACGTCGAGAGCATCGCTTTGCGTCATTATTAAAGTGACTTTTCATAGAAGAATGTTCCAACTTCCATTGTTATTTTATGAGCCCGCCTAAACGACATTCTGCTAACTTTTCCTCGTTCGAATAGCCGTGAATTCGGATTACTGCATCGATAACTGGAAATATTAGATCATCTCATAAATAATATCGTTTTTTATTTAAAGAAATTAATACCCACGTCTGCCACATATGTAAATCTCCAAATACTCCGTAGAATATTTTGCTACTCTCCATCAAAACATTAAACGCTTTAAAATTAATAAAAGAAACAAATTTCAATCGCCTCTCGTCGTTGGTAATTCTTCGACGCGCGGGTACGCGAAACGAAATATTTATAAAAATAAAATTAGCCGGTGGTATTGTCGTCGTAACGCGATATGAAAACATATTTCGCAACCGTATAGGCGCGAATATCGTCTATTTACACGCCGGTGCGTTTATTAAACGAACTATTCAGTTGGCAAACACATACGCGTGTATTTATTCGCGCCGGCGTAACGTAAAACTATGTTTAAGGTGGTTTTAAATATAGTGCTTCTTGGCCGTAAAGCACGAGACTCCGGCCAGGGATTAATCACCCGGGATTTGTTTACGGAATCAGCAACTACCGCGCGACCTGGTAATTTAATAATATTTTCAACAAAGTTTAAACGTAGCCGCGACCGCGCGGAAGTTTCGTCTTCTTTTCAAGTGGCGTACGACGGGTCAATATTTTGCAAACGTGTCTTTTGTTCCCCGACGCCATACGAGAGATTCGATCGCGTGCTATAAATTCTGTGCTGTTACCTGATATAGGTAGTCTATTTTGACGAGGCATTAGGGGAAAATGGGGTAAATTGGGAACGCTGGTCAGAACGGGGGGGGGTTGCATTTTATTTCGCTAATATGTGGCGCACGTTAATGGCACTGGTGGTAATTAGTGTTGAATGTGGATGTGTTGGTTCACGGTACGCGATTCCGTGTACAAACGTTTACAATCATTGAACAAATTATTTCTATTTAAAATGTCTTCTTTATCTTAAAAAACTGAATAAAATTGGTAACAGCAAGAACGTGTTTTATACGTACCAGCTCGGTAGCGAGCTGCAATCGTTTCGTTCGTAATAAATAAAGAAAATAGACGTTTGCAAAGATAATTTTATTTCGTCTAAGGCGGTTAAGTTGTTTTTCTATTAACGGGACGATGTTTATAATCGTTTCTGATTGCCGGATAACATGGCGGTGATTCGATTGTAAAGCAATTATAGAACTTTCTCTGCTGTGTCAGCCTCTTTGTCGTGGCTGTTATTCAATCGTTCAACTTCTTTTAACTGACCACGCACATTGAGATCAATTTATTTTCGCGATCGCACTCGGATTGCTCGCGCTAGAAAAACTAATGGTCATGTGGATGCGCGAATTAATATCGAGAACAGACTGTTTTAACATCTATTAAAAATAATAACTTTTTTAGTTACTTTCTAATAAATTTGTGACGACGTACAGTGACCTATGGTTAAGGATCATTCAAGATCGATGAAAGTCAACTACTGGTTGTTGACCAATCATAAAATGATCCAAGAATCCAAGAATACTATTAGTCCGTGGTATCGACCAAAGTGCTGTTTTGTAATATTCAAACTTTTAAAATGGCGTTACACGAAAACGGAGAAAGTTAACGCGTTGAAGACGATGAAAAAAGCAGAGAGATACGATAGCAATTATTCCTCCCTATATACAATCTCTGTCATTTATTTGTCAATGATAAGCCTTTTCGAAAAGTGCACCTTCGAAGGACAGCGTTCAGCGATAAGATTTTTAGTTTCCGAGGATCCAAAACCATCTAAAATTTAATCCCGCATGCAAACATTTTATGAAACGTTCCTAACGTGTAACGTATGGGATTGTCCAAATCGAAAACCGCCCGTTTATAGTGAACCATCCTGTACAAACGACATACGTCGCGACCTTATAGTGAACTCGTAGCCCACGCCGTTATCGAGTAAAAATGATGCGTTGTATCTCGATTGACCCATTATTGAATCCAAAGCCTTCGATTCGCTGGGATTGATCTCGGACGATTAATACGCGTGTGTGTGTGCGCGCGGGGTTGTCATTCATCGATTTTACAAAAATTCCATGTAATTGCAGGGTTTAAAGATCAGGAAATCGCGCAAGTATCGCGATAACGCGTACTTGAGCGTTAACGTTTACTTTATGCAATACGAGGCCACGCGATACAGGAACAGTTATAATCTCGGAAAAATTACTCGTACGATGATTGTAATAATTTTATGGGCGCTCGATTATAGGTTTCGACGAAATTCCAGCGGCGATAGCGATAGAAAAAAAGCAGACGCCCTTGTTAGTCCCGTGATTTTCAGCGTTACACGGGGGAACTTGCATCAGGTTCTTGGCGATCTTGCATCAGACAGGTTAGGCGTTTCTAATGTACTTTTTCTCGTGGCCGCTGAAAGGCGAGCGACTCCGAAAGGTGGACGATCATTCGATATTTAGTCGAAGATACTTTATACTAAATAATTATTAATCTCACGATTAAAATCTAATTGCAAGAATTCCGTGGAAGATCTCGTCATGAGCGTAGAAACGAAGTAATACGCATAAAGCGCTTATATTTAACAAGGAATAACCTCGAGCATCAAGATGTCGGACGCAGATGCCTGGAAGGCGACGTCTGGAAGTTACGAAGACTATACAGAAAAAGAACAGTAAAGTGTAACATCGTTTAAGGAACCGGACGACAGCTATAGAGGCGAAGACTTTCCCCTGTTCTGCTTCTCGGAACATGTTGATCATTCGCACGCAAACCTCGTCCGCCATGTTCCAATGGATTCTTTATCGAATTATTCGTACGAAAAATGAATAATTATCCGCTATCGATAGTTTCGTTCGATGCAGCGATTATTTCCTAACTTACTTACCAGATACGACTGTTACGGTCCCTTTTGTCGTACTCGTTTGTTACCTA